ATAGTTTATTTTGCCCGATCAAGAGCCCTTCAGCATAATGACACATTCATATACACATATATGAACATTTTTTTCTGAAACATTAATGTATAATACATTTTAAGTTTAAAATACCAGCTGCACAGGTATTTTTATTTACAAAAATATTCCATACTTAATTTTTTAACCTCATTATGATGACATAGTCCAAGTACATGTAAGTAAAATAACTCTATGCAATCTAACATAGTTGAGTTTGTAACAGTACAATTTGCAGTTCATATGAAACTATATTTGTAGACAGATGGATTTGCAACCCTACCTAAAAATGCATATTCCAGTAATCATCCTCGGAAGAGCTAGTGGGGCTCAGCAAGACTTAACTGAAGAATAAGTTGCAATGAACATAAGGGAAAAAGAAAACACACACGTACACACTAACATATACAGAAACGAGAACTGCTACACATCAAGCATGCTTACCCAGGTGTGGGCAATGTTAGAAAAATTTACGGATGTATTTTTTTTCCCCCATGGTGTTGGTACAATGAAACAGCAGCATAACTAGAAAGCAGCATGTTTTCCTAGTTCTAACCACTACAGATAGCAGAGCTCAGGTCTAAAATAACACAGTACTGCTTATTTACAATTCTGTTTTAAAAGGGAATATTTAAAACATGTTCCCACCCCTCTCCCTTTCCATCACCTATGACTGAATGGTAGTGGTAATCCACATACAACTTCTTACATGTTTTCAATTGAAACAGTTTAACTTCTAGTTATTTGCCTGGTAATATGGAATTTAGGTACTAACAGAAAGAAATAAAAGCGTCAAACTAACCTGCAGCTGTAAGTTAGCTTAAACATTTCTAGGCGCACATGGAACTACTGAAAGAAATACTGATTGACATCTTTCATTTGATTGTTTGGTGCTTCTGCCTCATTTATCTTTTTCCTTTTTCTCCACTTTTTAAAAATTCATGCCTACATCTTTAAGTGTAAACTTTACAAGGTGTAGAAGAACCCAGAAACAGTACACTCATTGAACTTAAAACAGTAATAAGGTAGATATACAGCACATCTTTATAATGGGCTTAAGAAGAAGAAACTGGCCTAGGTCAGCTTTTCAATGAAAACTGAGGTAAAACTGGTTTAACTGATTCACCTACACGACACCCTTTTTCCCCGTTTCTGTTCACTTCCACCCCTCATGCATCGTTAATTTCTGTCTACAGATTATTTGAAGATTTTGTGGTAGTAGCAAAGTTATCAACATCCACCCAAAAAGACTCAAATCAATTACCCAGGAAATTGGTTGGCATGAGAGAAGATTCAAGTGACAAGTTGCCCTTCTACCTAGAGAGGGAGGCAAGGCACCGCAGTCCTTCCCTCCCACACCAGATTCTGCAGTCAGTGCCTGCCCAGACATGTTAAACCACAAGCAGAAAGTAAAGGGCACTTCAGCCACAGACTCTTAAGTTTTCCAACACATGTTTCAGACACAAAGAACCCCAACAGAACAAACCCACATAAAAACCAACCCTGATTTATGTGTGAAGAGTTGATGTATAATCAAACTACACAGATTACTCAAAGAAAATGTTTATTGGACAAACCTCACTTCAGTTTTGGAGAATTTTAAAAGTCTAAGCAATAGAGCTGAAAAAAGTCTCTTGTGTGTACCAGAAAAAAACCCAAACCATAGAAAACCAGTCAGCCATGGACTGCAGCTATTGAGAAAATGTTAATATTAGGCTAGTTCCCTATCTTCTTGCTTCATACTTGGAGAATTGTTCAAGGATGTTCATAATGGGAGGTAAAAATAACTCATTATTTTCTGCAAAGCAAAATGGGCTATTTGTTTTAATTGCTTAGTAATTGTATCATCTCGATATGAGATATGAATGTATTCATAAGCTTAAAACAACTTCTATGGATAATATACATACTTTAAGTACTTTGACTTAAAAATTGAACATAAGTCTTCTTAAAATTAAATGTAGAAGTGTACATATAAAAATTATTTAAAACTAAAAGTATATTCTTAAGCAGTATGTATAAATATAACAGATTTCTTTTGTATTATCTAGTAACAAATGTGAAAGTGTTGCAGTAATTTATAAACTGAACGCTGACACAGAATACGTGCCTTTCGTTAGATTCTATATTGTATATACATATTTTGCTAAGAAAACACACATTCTAAATAAATCACATAATTAGCAAAGGTGCCTGAAAGTAATCTGTTCTAAAGTCTTTATTGAACTTGTGTTTATATACAAATAATGAACCTGAACTGCACAAATGCAGAAACAAAATTAAGGAATAAAATATCATGATTGAATTAAAGTGCAGGAAAAATTCAAGTTTAAAAGTCCAGGTAAGATCAGTGCCATTAATTAAGCAAAAAAGAAAAAACAAAAAAGAAAAAAAACCAACACCACCACCAAACAAAAATTCCCACCCCTCCAAAAAAAAACCCAAACTAAAACACCACTGAAACCAAACAAAATTAAAAAAAAAAACAACCCAAGAAAACAAAAAAAACAATACACCAAAAGCAAAACACAGAAAGGAAAAATATAGGAAAACTTAAAGGAAAAAAAAAGAAAATGAACTTGCTTCCAAAAATCCTCCTTTGGATGTAGCTTTCCAATCACCTGCCATGCAAGTACCACCTCAGGCACAAAAACTTTGCATAAAGACAGACAAGGAACACAGCTATATATTACTCTACTTTATAACTGACTGTTTGCTGAAGAACAAATCACTGGAGATGCCTGTGGTATAACACTTTCAGACTGATCTGGAATACACACATATTTACACATACCAGGATTCAAAAGTTACAATTTGGCAGGACTAAGGTGAAGAAAAGCTTCTTCAGTTTACAGTTCCTAATGAGACACACTACATATAAACAGATAGGTAGCAGCAGGTAGTTTCTTACTTTCATTAAAAAAAAGCTCAATTGTATTTTATAGTTTTCCAGACACTCTAAAAAATGTCACATAACTAAATTGCTAGTGAAAAAACCAGGGGTGCTTCCCTGCAAGGATTTCAATACACTTTGCTGTACAAAATGTGCACCACCAATAGCACAATAAGATGCAATGATGTGTGTGTGATAGCCTTCCTTCCACTGGGAAGGAAAAAGTAACATTTTAGACTAAAATTTTACATAGCCCCTTTTATTGAACAAGAACCATTTGTGCATTTATCTCATAAGCAACCATGTCATTAGTCTTCCTATCTAGTAGCATGCCCTGAACATAAGCACCAGGAGAGATTCAACTATGATAGATTCTGTAACACCAAATAAGCCACTATTCTTCTGGTACGGCCAGATGGTCTCTCATTGCCTCTTATTATTTTGCTTGCTGGTGGTTATCAAATGCATCTTGATGACAAAAATATGCTTTCCTTTCAAGTCAAGGTCATCTTCCATTGAATGATACCATAATTTGTTGAAGAATACCTTTGCAATCCTCTCCCCCAGAGCCTGCCCAGATTAATTCCCCAGGATTCTGTTGCCCTGAAATGTACTTTATCTTCAGCAGGTCAAATAAAATGAATCAATTCAATTTAGAAATGTGAGACAAGGAAGGGGACAAGTGTCAGCTAGGGTGGGCTTTTTTGCATGTGGTATGGGTAGTGGTTTATCTTGTTTTCTTCTACCTGGATGTCTCACAAAATGGTGTTAAATAGGCATTAATTAGACACTAAAAATAAATTAACATGCAGAGGCAAACATTAACATTGCATGACAAACTAAGTTAGGTAACTCAAGTAAACATTGCCTCAGTAGCTATGGGACAGAGCTATCAAGAAACCATAATACTGCTTGTTTGAATTGTCATATTCTTATTTTTAAGTCCTTTGAGCAGTGGGCATAGTAGGGCATGCCCTCTAACTGGCAACACAATTCAATTGTCTTTTTAAAATGTTGCTGTACCTAAAGTAAGAAAATTTATCAGTTTGTGCTTCAAAGTCCAGACATATTTGCCTCTCATTTGAAAAGTGATTCAAGAATCATAAGTAATTTAAATACTTTGCATATTTGAGGTTTTTTGTAAGGTTGCCTTATATGCAACATCACTTCACAATACAAATATAATCAAGGTTTTGCTCTGGGAACATTTAGAAAGTTTGTGAAAAAAGTACACAAAATGCAATGCTTGGAGAAGCAAATCTAAGTGATTAATTTCAGACAATGTAGACATATCAGCTTCTAAGTACTCCCTTTTATAAAACAAGACCAGTCAATAGTTATTCTTATTTTGAGGAAAAAGGTCTAAAGGAATTTTAGAAATGCAAGCATTTATTTTAAGGAATCTTCTCTTTCAAAAAAGAGCCCTGGTCATTCACTCTGATATAGCTTTCGTGCAGTAGCCATTAACAAGTTAGCTCAGCTGTATTATTTACCTCACCCAAAAAAAACCCCATTATTTCAGCAATTCCTGAAGTTTTTATGCACACTTTACCACTGCTTACAATGAAAGCACTGCTTTAGAGACTAAATCCAAACTTTAGGACAAGTGCCTTTACGGTTGCGTGGGGCTGAGACAAGTACTTGTAAAATAGCACTACTGGCAGAACTTAGAGATTTGCTAAATAACATACTGACAATTATTAAGTATTAGATGCTTGCTTGCCATTATTCATGCATCAGCATCTCCATGGTGTGTAAAAGTTTGAAAACCTGAGTCCAAGGTTAGCTGATTTCCTAGTAAAGGACTAAAGGGGCATCTAGAACTTAAGTCTTGAGCAAAACTATCCCAGCTATTTTAATTAATGGCTGTAAAGATACATTCTGTTAAACATTTATAAAAAGTCACAGCATGAATGGAACCCACAGCCAATTCTCAATGTTACACAACCTGAACCAATAACTATTTTTGGCAAAAATAATATTTAACCGAACAGAAGTTGAAGAATTTTTTACCACAAGGAAGATGTTACCACATTTCACATTGCACGGCCAGAACACAAACGAAAACTCCCAGCATGACACATTCCAGTCATATTATTCACTTGACTTTTTAATGCAAAAATTACGTATTCTTTTGTTTTGCACGTCACAGAATATGATGTGAATACAAGAATACTAGATCAGGGGTCCAAGAAAAGACTATGCACAGGTCAACTATGTATACAATTTTCAATAAGAAATCTTCCAAGCTTCCCGCTTTTTAAATGAAAGAAATGACAGGAAATTTCAACTCTTCTTCAACAATAATGGCAAATATAGCAAGTCCTACAGAGGGTAATTTTAAGTCAGCTACTGTCCAGCAAGACAAACAGCTTGATTCCAGCTCTTGGACCCCTGATTTATTACCTCTCCTTACAGGAGGGTATAACACTGGCAGCAATTACAATAGCACAAAAACTTTTGGCATATGAAATACTAACACAGGATTGACCCTGCATTGCCCCTGCCCATCTCACCACAATTTCCTTTTATTCTCTTTTTTCTCTTTTTCACATGTTCCAGTTTCCTTCTCTGTTCCAACTTTATGCTAACCAACAGCTAAGAAACACTCAAGTTTCTTTTTTTGTATGTGTGTTTCTTAGATATAAAGCTCCTCAGTTAAAGCCAGGACTGAGGTAAAACAGTGTGTCATTTGTGCTAGGAAACAACAGTATCTGATGGTGAATACTCCTTTAAATTCCAGTGGTCCTGCCAAAATTAATGAAAAAACAAGATTTTTTCATCAGGACAAAATTAAACAGATGTGATTGATGAGAATCATCAGAATTGGTACCACTTCTTGTCTTTGTACTTCAACATCATCTAAAAAAACAAAAAAAAAAATCTAATTACTGTTTCTGTAATGTACCAAAATGTACAATGACACAAACAAATAATATGCTTACAAAGAAGCATGAGAAAGAAGGATTTTAGCAAGGCTTCTCAAAGTCACAAACATCACTGACACTGTGTGTTTAGCATAATGAATTTTCTAATGGTAGCATCATTGCTGGTGATCTAGCCTCAGAAAAAGACATTATTGAGAGAATGGAGAGGTTGCACAGGAGTTTAGGGTGTGGAAAGAAGTCAGAATGAAAACGGATGAGAACAGCCATTCTGTGGTAGTCACTGAGGGAAAAAAACGAAGCCACACTCAGAGGGTTTGCATACAACTGGATGTTTCTTAAGGACAGCAGGAATCTGACATAAAGCATTACTCTTCTTATTAATTCAGTGACAATAAGTAATTTTTTTCAGTAATGGGGATTGAGTTGCACATTTAGAAGCTTACGTGTCATTCCGGCAGACTGCATGCTCTAGAGCAATGTGCCATGAGACAAGGCTGCTTACGATGAGTACTTAATTGTTAGGAGTGACAAGTGATGGATGAAAGGGGAGTATCCTTTATCAATGATACTGCATGCCCTTTAGATACCTCTAACATGCCTTTGCAGAACTCAATCACTTGTACAATTGGCATTTATTTGACAAACAGGTCAGTTTAACATACTCACCTCATGAGCGTGTTTTGAGAAAGAATCAGCACTATAAAGCATAGCTGCAGTTTTTTCTTCCAGTTCTCCCAGTTTTTGTCCTCTTTCATCCAGTGCCAACCGGGCTCGTGCCAGTTCACCAACTACACCAGACGCTGCTCCTTTGACACCTTCAATACCCCCAGGTCCCGGAATATGCTGGGCAAGACTCCTTGATGCCTTCCCAGATGCTGATTCTCCAACTGGAAGCATTTGTAAAAGCAGCAAATACAGAATAGTAAGTTTTTCTAACATTGTGACATAAGTATCACTGAAACTAGTTTATATAGAGGTGCAATTTCTTTGCATGGAGACCAAACAGCTTATTCTTGGTATGACTATGAGCAACACTCACTACTCTATATTAGCAGTTGTTTCTTCATTAGAAGTGAGACATTCAAACATATTTTCAAGTTTCCAAGTAGCTTATAAAACTGTAAGCTCTTCAAGCTCAAGTGTGAAATTAAAATTCTGATGTTCATTAAAAGAATTGTTAAAAAAACACTTCACCAGCACAATATAGCTTATTTCATGAGGAATATGTTTTGATTTCAACAGACAAAGCAAGGTAATGAAATATTGAAAAGTTGTGGTTAGTTCTGGAAGTGCTTTGCTGATATGTAAGGCAGCCAGCAGAAGTTTCTTTTGATGGAAGTTCAATTTTACATGCAGACACCTGAAGATTAGGTGTCAATGCTGCCACTATGGTAAAAACCTTACAAAAAAACCCACAAAAAGTATGGCTGTAAGAATAAATCAGCACAAATGGTGGTCAGGTGAACAGGTCCAGACTCCAGTGATGGCACTGACTACATTAACTTTGCTCTTAATAAGACATCAGTCACCCAGTTCAATCTTGACACTTGATATGCCAATCTCAAGCAGAATTGTACAGACTACAGAAATTTGAGTATTTGTTTTAAACAGTGAAATATTGTTTGAATATCTTCCTTTTTTTACCTCTAGGAAAAATAATATTAGCTGGTTAAGTACATTTTGATGCAGTATTTCAAGACTCTCTGATAGGATTTTATGCTTCTATTAAGAATAATATACATTTAAATTAGTAGCATAAATATCTTTCTGTGAATTCCCAAAATAAGAGAAATTATTTCACTTATTACAGATTCTGCTGTGACCCTCATGGTAAATATAGCTACTTTAAAAATAGTCTCAAATGTCTTTTGAATTTTCATTGAAGTCTCTGTTAAGCTAGGATTTTTTTCTTCCATTCAATACTATTTTCCTTCTAAAGATTCAAGCCAAAACTTAATGGTGGAAACTTGACGTGATATAAAGAGATAGAGAAAAATTACCGTGCAACTTTAGAAACTTTCTCATTCATATTAAATTATAATTTGTGTACATAAATTTCTCTACTGGAATACTTAACCAACCTTCCATAGTATTGCATATACATATATATATATATATATATATATATATACAAACATCCAAAAAGGAACCTTTGGCACAAAAAGTGACCTCTAAATATCTAAATATCTGATATTTGCTCAAAATGTACAGGCACAAGTAATGAAGTCTGAGTTCTATTCTGTAGAAATCAAAAGAACCACCATAAAAGCAAGGATTGGCAAGGCACCTTGTCCATTTTGACAGATACATTTCACATTAATAAGAAAAACGTTCTTAAAAAGAAGCTTGCATAATATGATGTTAGATCTAGCAAATACCTAAATAAATAAATGGAAGCTATTTTCCTTAAATATATTAAAGTGCTTAAAGCCACCACAGTAAAAAAAAAAATGTAGTCAAGAAAACAACAAGAAAATTAAAGTACAATGAAATTTTTTGCCAAATCTGAATTTTACTGTCCTATAAACAGAAGAGTGAATTGAAATATCATACAGTTCTGCCCTTGCTGTCATTTCTAAGGCATCTCTGCACACACAAAATAAGGAAAATCTGGCATATAACTGAAGTAGAGAGCAATTTTAATTTTCTCACTGTCCAGAATAGAATTGTCCAAAAGCAGTGCCTTTCAGTTCACCAGTATAAATAGAATCATGGTCAGTGTTACATGCTTCATAAAGATGAATAAAAATAAGATTATAAAACAAGAAATGGGACAATTCATCTACTGCTGAATAAATGAGCTAAAAGAACCTGTGAAAAAATAAAACATACCAAGATTTCCTGATCTTGTTGGTAAGGTGTGCAACACAAAAAATCTAAGAAAAAAATATTTGTCGCTCCCTATTTTACTCCTCTTCACTAAGGTAATGTTCCATGAACACAGGTAATACATTTACCAAGGATCACTAGCTTCCTTGGGAAGAAATACCAGAAAAATAACAATTAATAGTAACTTACAGAGTTCTTCTCTGTCAAGTGACTGTGCCCCACCTCCAAACAGGCCTTTGAAGAACCCCCTGTTTGGTGCTTCTGGTGTTTCTACAAGAGTGAAGAGTTCACCCAACATTTCCTTTGCAATGAAAAAGAGACATAACAAGGCATAAATTATTAATAAGAATGGAGTATTCTTTTACTTTCAGGATTTATTTAATGGATTTGAATTTCAAAATAAATATGCTTTAATGGGCATCTGTCTTTGCAAGGTGATGTAGGAAATAAAAAAGTAAAAACATATCAATAAATTTGTCCAAACCATCTGCTTTTGATGGTTGCAAGCTTAGAGCTCATGGAATTCAGAAGCAAAGAAATACATTCAAGTAAAGCTTATTTGCCTCTCAACAGCTAGGGCAAGACTCCTGAATTTGTTCTATTGAAACTGCATCTACAAATATTTATATCCACATAGTAGTATGAAAGTAGAGCCTGCAACTCTGCTATTTTCTTATTCTATACAACTACCAACCCAAAGCATAACTGAGACTTTTTCAAGCTGTTTATACCCCTGAAACATAATAGCTTTCTTCAAATATCCTAAGTTGGCATTCCCCATTTGTATCAGCACACACCTCCCCCAGTGTCAACTGATGAAGGGAATTTTAACTCCATGTTAAAGGAGGAAATTTCTTGTTGATCAAAATGAAATTAAGCAAGAAACAGATTCAGCTATGACAGAATGGATAAACCAAAAATTTTATGTAGAAGTGATTCATTCAGAATCAGACTCTAGAGTGAAGGAGAACAAAAGGGAAAAAAATATCAAAGCACGAAAGCCTAAATGCTCAGCTCAGAATGTATCTAAGAAAAAAAGTGATATTTTTAAAATAGTTCATTACCTGAAGATTTTCACACGTTTCTTGGCTGTAGGTGAGCCTCTGTATTTCAGTTGGTGAGACAAGATAGAGTGCTTGTCCATTATCAGTGAAGCAGAATGTTCTGGCTATCCGCATATTGGTGAGTGGCAGGTAATATACATCCAACAATGGCCTTAAACTTGGCAAACTTAAGGAAAGGAATTTAAAAGCCCATTAAATATAGCAGAAATGTCTCCTATTGATCAAATGACTAATTTTTAAACTGCAATACATATTTTTTTTCTCTTCACCATCTGCATGAGTACCACATAAAAAGGTGCCATTTAATGACATTACAGAAACTCAAAACATCATATTTTTCAAGGCAGCACCTCAAAAGTGAAATTTAAACATCAGCATCACAGATGCATTTAAAAGCATCTTTTAAAATGATAGTCTGAGCATATAAACCACAAATTCAGTATTTAATGAATTAGGCATTGTTTAATAATTACCAAGGTACTCTGATAAGTATCTACCAATAGTTTATAATTAAACATCCTGTCTCTTCTCTCAGGTTAATAATTTCTCCTTGACTAAAAATACAACTCTAAAAGATCTCTCCTTGAGAAAATTTAGAAATATGAGTGTTCTGTCAAAGGAAAGCAGAATACAGTAGCCTCAAACAATCTTATGAATTAAGTCCCACTTTCTTCTCTGACTAGATGTTGAAGAGAAAGTCCTCTTATAGCAAAGTCTGCTTACCTTATATTGTCTGATTCTGCACATGTAACTGCAGAACTTACTGTATCAATCTACTGAAGAACAGACAGAACACTTAGGCTAGAACAGTATTCTCCTACCAAACGTTGTATTCCCTTAACGGGACAAAACACCTAATTTCTTGACAAGTGGAGCCCAAAATAAACCACTGTTCTCAAACACCCCCTGTGAAGTTCTTCTAAAAAAAACTACAAAAGTTGTTAGCTTCTGCTGCTGATACCATCCACATAAGGTTATTAATACTAGACACTAAAAAAGCAGCAAAGGGGCAACTTGAAATTAAAACCAAAGAAAGATGCAGTAACCACAACAGTATTAGGCTGCCTTACATTGTTTTTCTTTTTCTTTTTTTCCTTGATGCTGAGATTGCCTTTGGAGGCAAGTTTTAAAAGAAATAAAAAGCAATATTCTCTTGCAAACATATCACCCAGATATGACACCTCTGCCATGCATGTATCTAATTTAAAAACACTCGTAAGAGTCAGTAACAGGGAAGTGTTTTTCTTCAGATCAATGGGACCACAAAACTTCTTACAGCTTTAAAATACAAAAACATTTGATTAGATAGGACAAGCATGACCTCAACGAGAGCATTTTCATTGTTTCTTTTACAGATTTGTTTATTACTAAGTCCTATCTGAATCTATATCAATAGTTATAGGGCATCTTGGGTATGATACAGTGCTCTGACAACTTTACATTAACTGCACATAAGGTCCATCCCCAGCAGCAATTCATGCTTACAATGGAGTCCAACTTCCCCACACAAGGTAAAAACTTAGCATTTATAATTTAGCACATATGTAGAGTTATTAGAGAACAAGGTGAATCCTGAAGAAGACAGGATTTGTTTCAATATATGGTATCTAAACATTACTAAGTTTAGTTTTAATTAGGAAAAACAATACTGTTTGCCCTGCAAGGTGAGCAGCATTGTGGAGAGATGTTTAGAATGCATAAAACATGGGATATACATGGGATATGGAGTTACAGACTTACATAATACAACTAAAAAAACAAGTTTCAATTATATTAGTTTTAGTTTTACTCCTAACAACTTCCTAAAGAAATATTTTCTACAGAATCTTCTAGGCTGAAAGCTTCTTTTGGCAAGATTAAAATTATCTTTCAGGAACTTTACTGGCATTATGTTATAGGGCCATGTTCCACATTTGTCTTATCATCAGGCCACAACTAAACTGCAGGGGCAAGTATATATACACACTGCTGGTTCAGAATAAAACAGCACTTAGAAATATTTAACATAAAGGACATGAAAATGACATAGGTGACCTGTAAGTAAATTTAAACACTACTACTACTACACATGTTTAAACTCATAACTTAAATCCCTTACTTTAGATGACTTATTACTATACAACTGCTAGTAGTTGATCTTCCTAGCCTGAGTTTAAGGTGTTTAAGACACAAGCAAGCTACACAAGAAAATACTGAGGCATAAGTGTGATGCAAATAGCTGCAGCAAACCAGCCAGAGTTCTGGTCAGGTACAAACTAAAGGTCTGATTCAATGCAGTTTTCTCCATCAGGAAGTAAATTCAACTTTTAGACAAACTTAAGGTCATGGACCTATATCACCTTTGTTGAATCAGCGTAGCTTGAGCAAAAGTGGTAAACTCATTTGTTAAAGACATAACTAATAGGAATGTGAAATCAAAATTATTCAGGCTCAAGTGTTAGAGAATCATCAACCCTTAGTGAACGTAATATTTTAAAAAATTCATCATCCTGTGGAAAAGAAACCTTTCTGTATAGCAGAAGCCTATTTCTCTCTATATTTAAGTTACTATCAAGCAGGTCTTACCTAAAAGTCATAATATGTCCATTGGCACAAAAACATGCAAGGCAGATACTGTTACTCAATGACACTATGTCTCCACGAAGAACAAAAGAAGTCTCTGTTATATTTTGCTTATAAATACAGTTCTGGGATGGCAGTGAGATAACTTTTGCTTGCTTTTCTGAACATATCACTGCATATTGGTTTTCACTGATTTCCTGAGAGGAAGAAGGGGACACTGAAACTGGTCGTCGCTTTTTTGTTTTTTCTTTTTCATCTTTATCTTCATAGTGTTCTCTCCAGGTTTCATGTGCTGGTGGGACCAAAGATCCTGTGGTGTCCAAAAAAGCCATTCTCAAGATTGCCCCTTTTAGCCTCAGGATGGTTCCTAGGAAAGAGTAGTTGAGCACATTTCTAAAACAGCTCTCCTAAATTGCTTTTCAAGCTACAAAATATTCCTTTAAGAAGCTAGGAGAGTGGAAAGAACACAAGAACTTCAGTTTGCCGCCCTAGCAAAACAGATGTACAGCAACCTTCGTCATTTATCTAAAAACCAATGAAGCACAAATGTAATCAGGAAAATGTTAAACCAGTTTTCAAGGGTAAAGTGGGTGCATACTCTTTCATTAACTTCAAGGGAAATATATATTTGTATTTAAGTTCAGTGTCTCACATACAACTCATTCTCTCCTGATGAGTACACAGTATGTTTAATATCAACAATAAATGTTACTAGTCAAAAGCAAGCACCACTTTTTCCTTCAACTGGTTTAGAAACAAACATGCATTTTTTTATTACTCCCCTGCAGCTCACACTTGAATCCACTTCTCTAGCTTGAAATGAAAGTTTTCCCTCCTTACTGTTCAAATCACTGTCTCTGTAAGCCAGACCTTAAGCAAATAAATTTTATTTTACTTTAATTCACTCACACAACATGAACATTTGCTAAGTACAAAATATAAAGCAGTATATTTTTAAGATTATGCTGCAGATCCAAAGGGGAAACACAACTGCCTAGCCTGCAGCATTGTCTTTATGACCAAATGTTACCAAATCTGACCACTGCTGCCAATACCTCATCCAGTGGGCACAAATCTCATATATGGTCTAGATTCTTGCGGTCAGAGTGTCAAGGTGACCCCAAGAATGTAGAAGTCCTTGTTTCCCAGCCCACACGGCCAAAGAAGTCTGAATGCGTAGGGTTGGCTTCTCAAGGTTATTTTTCCTCATCTATAACATGCTTTCTCTGACCTGCTGAGCTCCTTCTAGCAAGTTCTTCACAGCATTCTGCCTGCCCCCTAGGGCAGTGTTTACATTTTATATCAAAAACTACATGTACTATGTTTACAATAATGTGCCAATATCTATCATTTATGTTAGTTTGTCTCTACCTTAAAACAATAGAAAAGTGTCACCATCACAGCAAGACATGGAGGACAAGAAGAAAGAGAAGAAAGTCAGGACACGCCCAAATCCCTCCATCTTGTCCCCTTCTACTCCATTCTAAGAACGCCAAAATTCTACTTTTTCACCCTGTGTTAATTTAACTACCACACTACTCAAACCCTTGTGGCTTGTAATTCCTCATACTAAGTTGGCAGTTTTTTCCATGGGCTAAAATCGAAGCCACAGATGTTTCTGACAACATGCCAGGGTCTCCGAGCCCCCTGCCAGGGTATTGAGATATCCAGGGCAGCCAGAAGGATGTCCTGGATTCCCACATAGATGTCCACTCCTCATCATTCCTCCAATCAAATAGCATTGCAATTTCTATGTTTAATAACATCTGTTTAGCAAAATAGACTAGAGCAGCATGTTCTGCATGAGACAGGGGTAGAAGGAAAGCTCAATCTATGACTAACAGTCTATCCAATAAACCATTAATACATAATTACAACAAAATCAGTTGCTGCATCAGAAAAACAAGATACAAGGCCTTACACAGCAATCCAAATGAACGTATTTATCATTACTATTTCAAGCCAGTTGTTCAATTTACAGACTTAGTTTACATTCCCTTTTCTTGCTGCAGGAAATCTGATTGATTCTTACCTCATGACTGAAAAACAGTAACAAACTGTGCATGTGATACTATTCATTTCTTCTGCTATCTCTGTTTAACAACTGCAAACATTGTAAACACTGAAGCTATATTTTATGAAATTGTACTCTCCACTTTTCCACGTTGAGAAATTCTGGTAACAAAGTAACCAATCTAGCTTGTTAAACTTACTAGCTAAATAAACATAATATATATTTTTAATTAATTAATAATTGAAAAGAAAACCCCAAACAGTTTCTTAAAAAAATATTAAGAACAACAACAATACTTTATCAAAGTCTACTTTAGCCTGTCTGTTTTGTACATACCACTAGGAGAAACAATTACTGGCTGAAGAAGTCTTTGCTCTCCTCCTGGGGGTAAGTTCAGTACAATGACAAGCACTGTACCCAGCGTGGTCCCAACCCACAGGCATGGGGAAGGCGATGTGTCGGCCTTTCTTGTGAAAGTCTCACAAAAGTGAAGAGCTGATATTGCCTCGCGGGACTCTTTATCAATGCTAGTTACACTAGAACTCCGGGATCGACTGAAAGAGTTGTCTTTGACATCTGAAAATAAATCAGTATTAATTAAAAAGAATGGCAAATTGGAGGGATTAAGAGATTTTTTTTTCTTGTTCTTTAGCATCAACTGTATACTAACTATAATGCTATTGATTTTTTTTATTTTTGTAGCCCTATTCTTCCTATTATTCCTTATTCCCCAATTTCCAGCTGTTTCTTAAGCAAAGCACCCAATATTTGTTGCAGAGGTTGCCATTAGGTAGTTATCACGAACAATTTTAAGGCATATTTCTGTTTTCTAGAGCCAGACAATAATAGTCATCAAGTGGTACTCCTTTAAAAGGTTGAATTACAAACCTCCCTGCCAATGAGCTGATTGAGCAGATGAAAAAATATTGGCTCCCATGGAACACAGTTAACTAATCTCAGGAAGATATAACTGTTCTACTAATGCAGTGACATCTGCACAGCATGATATCATGGAACCTGTAGTGACTCACAGTATTGTTCCACTTTATGAAACTGTGTGCAGGAGATCTAACAGGTTATTTACACACCCCCAATCTTTTAGTAAGAGGAAAACAAATGCTACCAAATGCCACTTGGTATGCTATGCAAAGCTGAAGATTTCCACTGGGAACGCTGTAGCATAGTGCCAGTAATAGCACTAAAGCTCTTCTGAATGTCTTGCTCACTTGTTTATCAACAAGTGAATTCTAATGTTAGCAAAAGTAAATGTACTGCTCCACTCTTGCTGTATGCTATCTGTAGGTGTGGCAGTACCTGATACATCAGCAGACACTGAATTTATCTATGCATTCACAAATTAATGCTGTACTTTCTTATTTTGTAACTGCAAAATTTAGCACAAGACAGCCCTCACCAGCAAAAGTTGTATGCAATTTATATTATTTTTTTAAAAAAATAACTCAAAAAATCTTTTGAGTAGGGTATAGATGAAATTGACATTTTAAAGCAGGATTAAGAGCTAAAGAACAACATTCAACCATGTACTATTTGGAACTACTACTATGTTAGTTTCATTAAATTATTATTGTCTTTCTACAAAGAATGTCTAACATGCATTTGGAAAGCATACATACTAGATTTCAACTGACTAAATACACACATCCACTTAACACAAACAGTGAATCTTCTCAGGAGTTGCCTTATTCCAACAAGGATAGAAAAAAAAAATTGTCCTGTTGAATTTTAGCTGTCAAATATGAAACAAGAATTATAGGAAGTAAATCAATCAGATGTTGACATACTAAGTTTTCACATTAAAAAAAATAAATCCAGTGTAAAACAATGAAAACAATAATTTGTTTTTATAAGTATTCTAATGACCACCACCTCTTATGATACTTATTTTTTTTCAGGCTTGAATGGTTTAATAGTTTTTTCCAACGGTTTCAATTGTTTTTTTAATTTAATGATTTTTTTCAACTTCAACATGGATTAATCAGTCTGAATATAATCAATCATACAGTAACTCCAATAAGCATAGCTTTACATGTGCATTTGTGTGTTCTACCTATTTGATTTGAAGAGCATGTGTACAAATTCCAAAGCATTGGAATGGACAGGAGAAAACCAATTAAAACTAACCTGTCAGACATATGGACATTTTTGAGAGTGGACAATCCATTCAGAAAAGAGAACAGAGGGTTAAAGGTTTAATTGCTTTAGTGCATACTATATATCCTCAAGTCAAGAAAGAAGTTTGTAAATGGATTTGATTTAGATGAAGAGGAAGAAACAGCAGATGAGTCACTACACACCACCAGAAGGATGGAAAGATGAGGCTCTTTTGAGGAAGTAAAGCAAGAAACAGAACCTAGTGGCAGTAGCATCTTAATCACTGGATTAGAACATTGAAAAGCAATGGTATAATGCAAGCAAGGGTATGATCAAGATAACTTCTGTTTTAGAAAGTGGAGAATAAATACAGAAACACATAGTTTGGATTTTATCTAGTCAGAGAGGAAAAGGAGCTGGTTAAAGATCTAAAGACAGAAAATTAATTTGAAAGAACAAGATCATGGAAGAGTAGGTTTCAAGAAGCCATGGAAAGAAACAAGAGACAATGATAAGGGTAATGAATTTAGGAGAAAAGCATTTCAGTAGTCTCCTACAGCCAGTAGATATGGCCACATAAGTGACAAAAACACAAGCAAGCCAACACTGAAGAACACTATGCAAAAGGTATATCACTATGAGAAAAGATAGGAGGAAAATTAAATGTAACTGCTTAAGGAAGTGATTTACAGACCTGAAGATCTAGAATAATTTTACACAGAACAAAATGAGATTTCTAAGCACATATATTCACATACATGCAAAGTCAAAACCAGTCAAAGGCTATTAAAATTCAGAAGGTACAAACTATTTTATGTGTTTATCAGAAATGATGTGACAAAAAATCCCTTCCATTTTTTCAGTAGAAGAAACAGCAAATATTAAGTGATGTAGAAAACACTGCAACACTTTCAAGATTGGAAAATGCTGAAAAAAACTTTCACCATTCACTTTTCACCACCCTTCATTAGGAAAGAGTAACACTTCCAAGTACTTATTGCCATCAAAGAACTGTGAGTAAAACAGTAGAATTATAATTGGTTGATACTTAAGTATAAATGTGTTCCAGTTTGCCAAGTATGAAATTCACCCTACACCAAAATTATCCCTAAACCATTAGTAAACATAGCATGGAACCACAGAAATATATTGAAGAGAGTCATCAAATTCTTCAGCTCTTCTGTGCTAACACGGCCATGGTCAAATTACTCTAGTTCCAGACAGTGAGCTTAGAAAGATGAGGAAAAATTCTAATTCCATGTGAGATTAACAGAAGCTACATCAGGTTTAGGTAACATAACCTAAAGAAGAAACTGAATTCTGTAATGAAAAAAAAAAAATCTGTAAAAATGAAATTAGAGATATGATGACAGATTTCAACAGCATAAAAAAATGACTAAAAAAGATAGGGAGTACATGTTATCCCTGTTTATCATGGAAAAGACAAGAAAAAGTTAACATGGAAGCAAGGAAGTTGGATTAAATAACAGGAAATCTGTTTAATTAGACTATACAGCATTGAAACTTTGTCTGGTATATTTCTAAAAAGCTTTTTTATTGGAGGCTCATGAATAGATCAGAGGTTAAATTGTCAAAATATCTGTATCCCTGCCAAAGGATCCTTGCCAATCCTTGGATAAAGAATATCTGAGAATTGCTTCCAACTTAACATTTCTCCGAGAGGGGCAAGCTGTAATTGTAAATCAGGGTGGTCCAGCTCAGTTTCAGAATATCCCAGTGCCACGGACTTGTCCCCTTGTCGACAGCAGCAGCACCTGGCAAACACACAGTGCTACAGCTGCTATCTGATCCTGGCTGTCTTCTGCTGGGCTGATGGTAGCAACTCTGCTGCAGAGAGAGGAACAAGCTGTGGCAGGCAGAAGCCACCTGCATTTATTACTGTAGGTCTGCAGTTGTCCCCCATCATCTTCAGAGAAGAAGTCAGAGGAGCTGGATCTGATCTAACAGCTGGCAGTCAAAGTATTTAAAAAACCCCAAGCGACTCATTTGTACATTGTTTTAGTTAGGCAACACAATGATCTTTAGTACTACAGACCTCACAACTGAACTGATCCTTATTTTAAAAGTTACTGTGTGTTTTCAAGAAAAATAAATTCTCAGACTGGTCATCCATCCAAACAGCTGTATATTGCTTTACTTTAGAGAGTGTGGTCACAAGACAATTAACATTTATTAAACTATACCAAACTATTTGCTGGCAGCACCTCAACATATCCTGTTAAGATATTTCATTTTTCAATTTAAAGTGTATCAGATGGTCCTAAACCGGCAGCAGTTTTCCTAATAAGCTGTCTGCTTATTCATGCTTTTGCTATCACAGCATGACTGATAAAATGAGTGACAGATACCTAAAAATTATTATCAAAGTGTGATAAGCCATATACAGGAATTGCAGGCTTACCTTATGATGACAGCAATGACATTTTGTGCCTGAGAGTCCCCAAAAAGAGTGGAATTAAAATTTTATTTCTACACTTCAGATAAATGCAACATAAAGTAATGATAGCTTACATAATTTAGACCTCTTACTGTAACATACTCACATTCAGTTTTAGTAAAAATAAAATCAACTATATAAACTTACCTAAATCAGGCTTTAACTCAGTTGGCAAACTTAGCTTCCTGGACATCTTTGCTGAAAAGTGAAGTATATCTTTTTTTTAAAAAGAATAAGCATAATTTTGCTGGTCCTTATTTGCTTCTTTTCCAATATTTAATATATAATTTATTACATTCATTGAGGTACTTTAAAGGATTTCCACTAAAGCAGAGACACGCTTCCTCAAGTGAGGGGTGCAAACTAGGTCATGGAAGACAGCAAAACCCCTAAATACAGCATCTTATGACTTTTCCTGAGCTTGATTTCTCTTCAGGCAGGACTTAATGGATTGGATGAACTTGGCTTTGGCTCAACCTCAAGTTTTAACTCCTCAGGTGAGAAGTCAGAATTGCAAGGATGTGCACTGATTCTTACAGTTACAAAAACTTAAGATCCCACCCCCTTTCTTATACCCTACTTTCTAATCAAACCTGGGACATTTAAAATCGAAAAAAAAAGAATTTGAAATAACTCTAAAATTAATACACATGTGTAAAAAGCTAATCACCTGAGAGAAAATCCACAACCTGGGAAGAATGAAGACATTACAGAGAATAATGATAAAATCAGCAGCATACAAATGCTTGCAACACATTCAAAAAAACAGAAAGATTTTTATAATACTGCTCAAGTGAAAAAAAGCACTTCAACTAACTCTTGACTTAGAAATTCTTTTTATAGGAATGGAAATCTTGCAGTCTGTTTAAACTGCAGTACAATACAAACAAATGCTACTACAAAAACCACCACAAACTAGTAGGCATACATACCACTTCCATCTTGCTTTCTATAATTACTGGAGAAAAAAATTTTGATACAGTTCATCTGCTAGATCAGGACTACACTCTAAATTTATTTCCCAGCCACATGGTTCAGCTTTGATGTATCATTAAATTCTTTATGATCCTGCATGGGTAATACTTCTTTTCATAAAGTAGGTACTGAGCTTAGCCTCATAATTCTATGAGTACCTTGTAATGTATCCCACTCAAAGCAGCCTGAATCCTGCTTTTCTCTGTTAAAATTGGAGTTACCTCATTCTAATTATCACTTTAATGGAAATCATTCCAATTTCTACATATCCTGAAGAATGTGACTTAAAGTTAGTTCCACTCCTTCCAAAAGTGAAATACTTCACTGTATCATCAATTATGCTCATCAATATTGCAAATTCTAGTTATCTGAATAGTTGAACAGTTTTATTCCTGTCATACATCATAAAAATTTGAATACAAGACTCCTGAAATAATCTTCTAATTTCCTTTATGTGTCAATGTTAAAAGTATGCTTGAATTAAACTGAAATTACTTACTCTCAGGCAGAAATGCTAATCACCTATTTTAGTGCAGGCTGAAACTGAAAAAGGCAGCCTGACTACATGTTTTCTACCCTCATCCTTGCTTTAGCACTGGCAAATACCTAACTTAATGGTGAGGTCAAAACTCATCTAAATGAGGTTTCTGCCAAGGGTTGTTTCCAAACAAGATCAACTCCTATTTCAGATCAGAGCTCAGAGACAGGAAGAACAGAACACCAGGGTACACAACAGCACTAATGACAAGGAGTCCCTCTTTTTACTATCAGCTTGAACTTAAATCAGCTTCCAGAGTGATCATGAAATCTCATCTGGAATGGTGAATTACAAGATGGGCATTCCTCAAAACATTTGTTTTTTTTTTCTGTTAGACATTTAAATAGTAAGAGCTGAGATACTGAACAAAGCCTCAAGTATATACTCAGAAAATAACTGGAGCTATTTTTGGCTTCTAACAGCTTTCACCATGTGTAAATAACCTATTTAACTAATTGAAGACCAGTATAGTCACTCTTGGCTTTTCAAATAGAAACATTTGGCACAATCTTAACAACTGGGAGAAAACTGACAAAAAAAATTTGAAAGTCACAGATAATATAACATGTAATAGCAAGTATAGGCAAATGTGTTGGATTCTGAGAGCCAATCCAGTTTTAGCTTTTTGTTCCTTAGTGAAAGGCCAGCTGTGTGAACTAGGCTGGTAAGATAAAACAAATTTGTCAGACAATTTTCAACATACACTGAACTATGCCTCATTAATAGGACAAGAGGATACAAGAATTGTTAAAAAGGATATAATTACTGGAAATTGTGAATTACTGTGCTATGCAAAAAAACCCCAACGTTTCAAAACATATGTTAATGTGTCAGAAACCTCAATAATTCAAATGTAAATGAGAAATAAGAACCTATTCCAACAGCAATAGTGCCATCTTGTGTTTAAACAAAAAACCGCCTAAATATGCAGTAAGAAAATAGGAATATTTCACCAACTAAGCCCTTTTTAACTAACATTAATTACTCAGTATAAAAAAAACTAAACCCTGCTTGCATTCACATTGGCTTAAATTTTAAATTTTTTTATAAATTCAGGGTTTTTTATGCCTCAGATAAAAACCAGCAACATGCTAGATACCTTGTACAAAGCAAAAGATATAAATCAGAAAAATGGAAGATACAGGATGGAGCTCTACAGAGAGAGATCTCAGTGTCAGGCTTTTCACTCCAGCTGTGCAACAGGGCAGAGGTGATGCTGACTGCTCCTGCTGCACGTGGCTGACTTCAAGTAGTAGCTGTCATACCAGAGTTCAGTATCTCCCTTGGGGGTGGTGGTTGCTGCAGCATTTACAGCCCAGAGAGAGGGATCTGGGAGCTGTTGTGCTCCTCCTGGCAAAGGCTGCTCAAGGCAACAGTGACTGTTTTGCCTGGGTTTAGCCCTGCATTTAATATTTACCTATATTAGAAAACCTAGAGTAATACATAGGTGCACACACGTTCTGTCAATATATATAATTAGGTATCATATTAGAGAACTGTCCAAACTCAGGAATTCTTGGAGATTTCTCTCAGGTCAGGCTTGGGAAGGTAGGTGTTAAAATATGAAAGACTTTCTTTCCATAGCATGTTAAGTGTCAGTACAGAAGGAACAACCTTCAATTTGATGAAGAAAACCTGAAGCCTGAGAAGGCTTCTCAATAGGAAGCTTTAGCTTAGAAGCAACAGTTACATGTCATTTGCAGTGAGTTATCCTGAGTTGATACTTTAAAATGTATAGCACATCAGTTTGAAAGCTATACAGTGACTTCTCCTTCATTCCTTTTATTTTAAAATAAAATTCTAAAGATTATAAAAGACATGTATCTTGGAGCTTTGACAACCAAGAGAACAACTCATGAAGCCTATTTCATATAACATCACATGAGAAATAACTAAGCAGCTTAGAATTTTTTAGAGACACCAAAGCTCCCTAATTATTCTATATCTGACAGCTACACAAAGTGAAATATTTACATTACCAATTAACTAATGTTGAATTCTCTAAAATTCACATGAGAATAATAAAACTATTTCACAAGAAACTGTAAGAAAACATGTACTTGGATACATCGAAAATTAGATCAAAGTATTAAAAACACATTAAAATAAATTGTCTTTGACACTGGGGCAAATAAGAACTTATTATAAACATCTTAAAATTTGATTCAATGAAAACAGGTGTAGCATTCAATTATTATAGCAATGTTTGAAAAATTTAGATACACACTTAGAATATAAGAAATGTGAGAAACCTCTGTCAGTACTAACAGCAGGGATCACAAAAGTTTGGAACTAAATCTGCTCTGCTTAGGTCTGTTTACTAATAGTCTTTGCAATTATTTTTAAATTTGTAAAGTGCAGGAAATAAATAAGACAAATTTTCCTGAGAATTATTTGACACATGCTACTAGAATAGTTAAAAAGGTTTTAAAATCTACCATATTTTGCAGGCACATTTACTAAAGACTTTTCCAGAAATGGTTGCTTCATCTTCACTTCCAACACAATTTGCAGCTATAATATGTAACCATCTGTATCTCTTCATGCCAAATACTTAATTAACCAAATTATGAGTAAAAAAGCTGAAGATTTTGCTTCCACTGGAGCTGAATCCCAGTGTCTTTCTATAAAAATGACATAGCCTTTGAAAATAAGTACTTCCTACCAATTCTTCTTTCTGTAAATTCATTTACATTTAGTATATTCCTTCATATTACTTCACAGCATATTGTTAATACCTTCAAGTATGTGACATTTATGAGAGAATGGGCTGGATTCAATAATGGCCACAGTACTTCCTAAAATTTCTAGAAATGCTTAGTTAAATCAACTATCTGAACATCTCCAAGGAAACAATTAACTATGATTTTTTCGAGGTTTATCTTTGATGCAAACAAAAGGGAAACATGACCCAAAAGCAACACATTCACAACAGGTCTTTAACTTGATTTACTATCCATTCCTTAACACAGAGCATTCACAGTTGTGTATTTAGAAGACAACAAACCAGACCAACTGATCTAAATGTTGGTGCATGAAGCATTTGCATATCGTTTTGCAGAAATCTGCAGAAATGACAATGAAATAAAGTGATACATTGAAAATGGCTTCATGTTTATAATTGTGTGTGTGACGTTACCACCTTGCAGCCCTACCACTGAAATGAAATTACATCACACTTTGCTAGCAGCATTCCCTTGCTTCTTGCTCCCATGTGGCAAACACAGGAGTGATATTAACAGCAACTGAAGTTGCCAATGGAAATGAATGTAATTCTGTTTTGCACCACATTTAGCAGGTTGTATTTTACACATTGACAAGCAATGGAAAGAACTTGAGCTGACTGCTCTGTGTACCAGTGCAGAGAGCTATAACCATGCCAAATACATCAAATACATCAAATTCGTCCCTGAGAACACAGTTGATGGCAAATAATTTGTTTCATACAACAGGATGTTGTTGATGACAGTGACATATTTCACAAAACTCATCATCCATGCACCTTTGGTTATCAATTCAGTTTAAAACAATGAAAAGCAAAAACATGCAACTATTAACACAGGAAAGGTGTTTTATTTACATGAAAGAGCTTAAAAGTAGGTTCAGAAAGAGCTAGAATGAGCATGTCAGATAAGCTATATTAAACATGGTAGCAAAACAACCACATTCAGTGCGCAGCAAACCACTCAAATTCAGGAAAATGCAAAATAAATAATCATCTTTAAGCTTCCAATAAACTGTGCAAATTACACAAATCACAGTCTAACTTACACCCTGAAGAATGCATTGCTTATAAGTAAATGTTTTGCTTTTTTTAGCAGTGGAAAACATTCCTAATACTTTCAGTTGAAAGGCTTCCAGCTGAAACAGCTGTGAATGGCTCTACAGAATCCTCATTGGCATACTTTATTAATGCTCTAACATAACTCTTTGAAAAGAAGTGAAAAAAAAAAAAAAAAGGAAGAGGTCACAGTCAAATTTTCCATGAGTTTTGCACAAGACAATGTGTTTTATGTTCAAAAGAGACAAAAGGGAAACATTACCTCAAAAGACATTAATATAACATGCACAAGATTAGGTGTTGTTTTTCTCAACCTGAACATTAGGTTCCAGTTACCCTGAAATTCCTTTAGGGGAATTAATGCTCATGTAAAAGACACTAATTTCTTTTTTAATTACAGATGAATTCATGTAATGTATTATTGACAGCCATTTGCTTTCTTGACATATTCAGATTTTCGCTGCCCCAAAATTAATTTTCCCTGCCATTTCTGATGCCACTGAAAGAAGGTCTCAACATTGAGCAAAAATATATACAGTACTTTCTCATTCTGTACTTCAAATTTCAAAGATTACTTGAAATCCTTGAGGAGTACTTTCTCATTCTGTACCTCAGTATCAAGGATTTCAAGGATTAAATTGTCATACTCCTGTTTGTCTCCCTCAATTTTGAATTATTCTTTGCCTCAAATACTGAATTATGATGAAAGGGACTAATATTTTAGGATAAAATTTAAATTGCCAAACAGAAAAACCAAGAGGAGACTTCAGGAAAAGAAATATCTTTCTCCCTTGTCTCAAGCTAGGCTTCCACACAACCTGTGATATAGTAGCTTAGCAACCAGTTTTACTATATAATTTCAACCTAAACTGACTGAAGAGATAAAATGAAATTATCCTACAATGATATACTAATTTGCTGAATGAAAACAAAACAAACATTAGCAAAATGATTCTGCAATCAAAGTAACCATATCCCAGTTAAGGAAGAGGAGTCCCTTTCCCAAAGCTAAATCATACAGCCTCTTGCTTTCATGTATTTAATGAGCCAGTTGTCAGAAGCAGAGTTATTTTCATTTCAGCCATGAAAGTGTTCAATCTACCTGCATACAACATATCCCAAGGCAATTTTGTTGCCAAATTAAGACACAAGTCTAGAGCTGGTAGGGTATTGCGTCATTGTTGGACGCAGAAAGTAAAGAGAGTCCTGGAACAGAAGTAGGGAATACTTTATATATACAAGCCAGTCTTCTTCCAAATAAATAAATGTAACTTTGATAGCACCTCATTCCTGACCATAGCCATGTGAAAATCTGACCATTTGGCTATGAATACAACATATAAAAAAGAAATGGCATCAGCCATACGTTCCCAAAACCAGCGCACGTTCGCAAAAGCAGTGGAATCATGTTGTGACTTGCATAGACTGAACTCTTACTATGTAACAGAATTTCACCCATCCAGAAAAACAGAGAAGTGCAACTGCAAAATCAGAGAATTTGAATCACCAAAATCCTTGATTCTTTTTTTTTTAAGCAGACCATAGAATTACCAATTAGCATAAAGAATGAAAGAATTAATAATGGAATGCATTGAAATTTGACTGTTATTTTGCCTGTTTTTTTGCTGCTGGGTTAGTGCTGCATAGATTAAGCCACTGAATTAGAAAGAGTAGATTTTTTTTCTAGTTCCTACCTATGTCATTGGTTACCATCTTGGAAAACTTTCTGCTTTTGGTCTTCACTGTAAATAGTATTATAATAAAAAAAAAATCAACCTAAGTGTATCAAAAGGTGAACTAAAGAAAAAATAAGACTAAAGAAAAGAAAAATACTGTACCCTTTTCTATAAAATTATTCAATTTTTGTTCATCATCAGAATTGTTTGGTGAACCAGAACCTACAAGTGAACAAGTGAAGACATAATGAAATGGATATACATTTGACATGAATGAAGGCGATATATCTTTGACACAAAAATCAATGTATACACTTAAAGTATACATATATTACACAATATATGTATACATATATTATACAATATTATATACAGGATCTGAGTTTAACAAAGATATAAATAAAATATCAAAAATATCAAATACTGATATTGATATCTGTAGCTGTATTAGATATTATAAAGTACAAATTACTTTATACACAATTCCGGCATATTGGAATTAGCGACAGAAATTATAATGCAAGGTACAACACTCCACATTGCAGTGAGTTTATTGCTAGAAATAATGACCACATTGAGCAAATGTTTACGCTGAATAACTAAATGGCTCTACTAATCATTGCTCCAGACACAGAAATTAGCCTAAGTTATGATTCACAAAACACAGCTGTAACAATAAACACAAGTCCTATAAATCTGTTTGGTTTTTTGTTTTTCCAGTGCAGTAAATTATTATTGGACCACAATTCTTCAACTACTCTGCAGACAACTCTGAGCCAATTGTGCCACCTGGATTTTTTTGTATCCCAACCCTGAAAATCTGATCTTAGCAAGAGACCACAACTTCAGGCTTACTACTGTCATGAAATTAAAACATTGCCAGGAAATTAAAACAATTAATCTAAAAAAATTTAAAATTTAATTGGATTTTATATTGTGGAAGTGTAAAACCAGACTAGAACACAAGCATTTTGGCGTTTCTGAAGACAAAAACTTGACAGTTTAAATGCTGTACAATCTTTTTGGTCAGATAAACGCTCCCAGAGTCTAAGCCTATTTACTGCTTGACATCTATAGAAAAAGCAGGAGTTAAGACTATTCCTCCTGCATTTTCACAGTATTTCTACAGTTCTGTGTAAGTGAAACTGTAGGACACTCTCCTAACTTGCATAGGCAGGCAGTCCCTTTCACAATCCTCTCAGCTATATAGCCACCCACCGTAGGAAGCCTAATGGAAGTTACCTTCCACTTCGCTTTACGTGGACATGGAAAGGTGGATTTCAGCAATTGCAGACTTCAGTCCAAACACTGACTGGTGTCTTTCACAGATTACATTGTAGCAATGAATGCCAATGAGGCATTCAATTGCCAATCCCATCCTCTAATCTTAGAGCTAGTAACACACTAACATTTTGTGTTTGTGTATTTTCTACTTAACTAGAAAGCCCCTAGACTGCAAAAAGTTTCCTTAAATTTTGTCTACATCCTTCTTCTCAAGCTTGCCAATATTCTGCAGCAAATTTCTCAAAAAGGCCCTCTCTTACCTCTGAAAGATAAATGCCACTTTCAAGCTTGTTTCCAGTCTTGTGCTTTTGCCCAGAAAAGATACAAAACTCAAACCAAACCTAAAGAATTACAGTTCTTCTCTCTTCACAAACATTAACAAATTATTTCCATACCAGGGTGGTGCATCCAAGATTTTTTTCAAAAGAAAAGTTGAGAAGTCTACCACAAGCTTAATCTCATTCACTGAGAGCAGAGGACAGAATCACAGGAAGCAAGGCACAGTCCAGTCTTGCTACTAAAAGTTTCTAATGCACTGGTTACATTCCCCCTCCAGCTTTTGTCCATTCACTATTTTTAATACTTTAGGCATTATTTTTTAACCTTCTTCAGCTCACACTCAAGCAGGCAGGAGGAAGGTAGGGGAAGCCAATTGTTAAATTTAGGAGTTTTCCGTAAACCTTAATTTTTATTTTTGGAGTTGCCTTAATTGCACTGTTGCAGAAGTGGTGAATTGAGTATTACTCCACTTCAACACCCCGTTATGAAAGAATGCTCTTATTTAAATGACACAGTGCTTTAAGTGGCATAAGTTAGGAGTTGTTTGGGCTAACATTTGCGTGATTCTGGAGCAGGGGGAAAAAATGATACACATTAAAGGTTATGATTCATTAGCTGTTAATTGCAGACATTTTATAGCAGTGTTCCAGAACCTAGATTTAGCCCAGACTTTTTAAGTGGGGTCAAAATTAAATACCATAGTGAATTGATAACTCTGCTCAACCTTGACAGACAAAGGATTTACTGCACCTGCAGCAATGCACAGCAAATTGTTTACAGGCATTGGTCTCAATATGTAGAAATGAAATAGGAAACATGCACCTTATTCTCAACAACATAAAAAAAAGCTTTCATTATAAATAAAGCTTTCATTATAAACTATACTGAAGTTGATGACTTCAGCATGCCAATACTTAGCAACACAGATTTGTCATGAAATCACATCTTTGGGTATGTCTTTTAATTAAAACTCACAGCTAGGTTTTGTTTTAATTTTAAATAAATCAAATTTACTCTAAGAAGAACAAGCAAAAATGAAAATAACATTGATCTAGAGGAGTGTTTTGCACAATTTAAAAGGAACATCAAAAGACAATTGTCAAATTAGAAATTAAAATTTATGTTAAAATTTCCACTAGTGCTAAAAAACAATGTTTTGGTTTGTTACACTTTCAATTTGACTTTGAAAGATCCAGGCTACAATAGAAAAGGAACCTATCTTTAGACTCCCATCTTAATTAACATTTTACACTACATACTACTTTATGTTCTTCATTTAAATCTGCAGTTGAGTCCTTTAACCTTGAGTAGTTTTGAATGAAACAAAATGACATCTTTAAAAGTTCTCAGATCAATAAATAAACATAAGTGACAATTTTTAGCTACTACAAAAACTATTCACTCTATACATTGACATGCATTATTAAATTTTTACATGGTTATAGCCTCAACTAGCCTACATGAAAATAATAAATCTTGAAGGTTTCATTTAAAATATTCACATACAGCAGTAGCAATTGGAAAATGAAAAAAAAAAATAAAAAAGGAAAAAGGAAAAAGGAAAAAGGGTGCAAGAGGAGGCATATTAAGTAAGGAACTCCTACTTTCTTAGGATGGTGGTGTCTGAAGACCTCTGATCCACAGAAAAAATAGTAATTTGCCACTTATGAGGAAGCAGAAGTAAATTTGCTCAGAAATAATCTCTACCACTTTTGAGGAATACAAAACACAATCACATGAACAATTACAGGAATTTGTGCATCTCTTGTCAATGCTTCAAAATTCCATTGTGCAGTATATTCCCTGAAGCATAAATATTTCAGTCTATTCTCTCTTCAACAATCTTTATGACATATTCCTATTGCATCTCTTAAGTCAGCTTGTTTTAAAAATGTAGTTGTGCAAGATAGCAAAATTTATGACAGTTCCACAAGTTTGTGAGAGGACAACAGGTCTTATATAATTACTTAACTAGTAAGTGTTAACTTCATGCATGCCATCTTCTGGGAAAATAAGAAGCTGAATATCAGGGAAAGTTATGATTACCTGACGTGGGTGACTTGCAGCGGTCTTCTGGCACCACTGTACCTTCATTTATATCACAAAGACCTGCTGAAACACAACAACAGTGTATTATAAATACAGTTCCCACTTTATTTTTACTTCCACTGCAGTCAGGAACTTCATTTCTTATTAGAGACAAACAAGCCAGTTGTGACAGAATTTCTGTTACATACTACATTTTTTGACATTATCCACAGTAACTGTAGAGTCACTTCATACTACTAAAGTTTTCTTTGCAAAATATAATCAATAAATTTCAGTGAAAACTTCTATACTTTCAGCTAGACAAACTTATCAAAACAGTTAATTATTTACATGCTACAGGTACATATTAAGCCTAGACACAATTTCTTTTTAAAAAAATCAGAGTTAAATTAAAAATGTAATTGTGAAAGAAAATAATATAAAAGAGGGTCTTGAAGATTACAAGCACATGATATGTGAAACTACAGTGCCTTTTTTCAAACTACTTTTCCACTGCTGCAGTGATATGCCTTGTATTTGCCAATTTGTATTGCCAAGTTAATTTTCCATAAAAACTCCTTATTGGTGTCACTTAGAGAATTCAGGTCTTGGGGTGTTTAGATAGGTGCTCTCCCTTGCATGGAGGAATTTCACTAAATTTCTTACATCATCAAATCTGATCAGTTTGAAAAAACTGCAGTATGTTAACATCTGAAAGCTAATTCCTTTCATTCCAGTGAAGGAACTAAAACCTAGTTATACACAATCAGATGCAAAAGATGGAAGCTGCCTCAAAATGGTCCTAAATATTATTCCATTAAATAATTTAAAAGTATACAAGAATTTTTTTTTTTTTTTTTTTTTTTTTTTTTTTTTTTTTGACAAGAAATTGCTGTCAGGACTGCCCACAATTAAGAGAAGCACATTTTGTTGATATTTTAAGGTTAGTAATACATTTCAGGTTTATATCATGAAGCTTTCCTACAGAAATTTCATTATGTGATACCAAGGCAAACAAGCATGTAACAGTAATAGCTAAGAAATATTTGCTAAAATTACAGAGTTTTGTGTGCACACAAATATTTCCAATATTCAAAAAGTTTGCGGGGCAATGGTAATGGCTAAAGCAAGAAAGGTATCACATGAAAAGCCTGTCTATACAATTGCACACTACACATTCACAAGTGCCACCTGTACATATCTGTCAAAAAAAAAAAAATACAACAGCTCTACTCCATCTACACCAAAGCTTTAAAATTTCCAAACATTAAACCAGAAGTTAATAGTTTACAGGGAAAAAAGGTTCTCCTGAAATAACATAGCAATGTGGAACACATTGAAAGTATGTTAGATTAACAATTCCATTTATCCAAAATAGTCTCTTTTAAAATTACTAAGAGCATGAATAACTTAAACCCCAAAACTCAATGACTAGAATTGGCAAATGACCCAATTTAAATTCTAAAATGTCAAATGAAATTCCAGGTGGAAGCTATATCTTTCCACTACACAGAAGAAAGAAAAGAGCAATTTATTTAATCATCTGTCAGTAAATCAATTAACACTACGGGATAATCAGAGCTTTACATCAGAATTTTAAACAGGCATGGGAGACTAAATGTTTTGACCTAGACAGGATTATTTAAAAAGATTTCTGAAAAATTCTAAAGTTGCTTTCATAACAAGCAATACAAGTTTCAGATGATAGTTGTGCTGGGAGGATAAACCCATATTGTGCTCTTAGAAGTAGTTGCCCTCTCAGGAGCCAAACTAAACAAATTCACACATGCAGTTCGGGAACACAATTTCCTCTTTTCCAATAAAGATTAATTCTTTACCTCCAAAGGATGAGTTTAACTTCTTGTACTAGTTCTCCTATGAAAATTCATTAATTGACAGCAATGATCTTTAGCCAAGCATGAAGACACCTGCACACTTGAATTCATTGTAGGAACTCTCAATGCTATACTTTGATTAATATACATCTTAATTAATATGAATAAGTGTGCATTATGGTAATCATTATAGAATATAAAGCTTGGCTATCTGTTCATAGCCATTACTGCCATTACTTCAGAGAGAAAAAGAACAGGAATAGATGAAAAGTAATTTTAGCTATTATTGTATTGGTAATTAAACCAAGCAGAGTATAACAAGAATGATCTAATTTTGTGAACTAGGAGGCTCTGCTCATGACCAAGCTGAAGAAACTTGCTATTCATCTTAAAACCCCAGATATCCTGATGGAAGCACTGGCAGCAAGACAGCTCTCCTGGAAAAATTCAGTAGAAAATTGATCTAAGATTTTCTGTTTCAGAAATACAAAAACTGTATCCTTCTATAACACTAATATATGTACAACTGACCTTTTAATAAGCTTTTAGTTTACCTCTGCAAACTCTAGAAGCAAGAAAATGAAAAACTCTCCAAACTGCCAAAAATCAAAGAATGTCATTAAAGACATCATTACCAGGCTGCATTAAAAGCTCCACAGAACTACACCTGAAATTAACTGATATATAAATTTTCATGAGAGTTAGTTTTTTGCACAAGCTTTAAACAGACATCTGAGAAGTACCTACAACTTTACAAGAAAATAGAAAAAAAAAATATTAAAAATTATAACTAAAAGTAACTTGATATGATATAAAACTTAGAATTAAAAACAAGCTGAAAAACAGGATCAAAAAAAGATCCCCAAGCTCAACAACCAAACTTTCTGATACAGTTTCAGCCTTGGCTGATGTCAGTCACAGCTGATGTTGGTATCATGACATTTAAGATAAAAATTCAAATAGTGCATGAAGGAGGAAGGGGAAAAAAAATGACCAAGCAACTCCAGAAGAGTTGTGGGCATATATTTTTTTCCAGTTTGTCTCAACCCCACTTCTTGAATAACTCATAGATTACTGTCAAAAAGCTTTTTGATGTAAAGTAAAAACTTTAAATAAAGTCACATGCATGTAAGTACTGCTTCAGTTTTGTCAGAAACCTAAACTGTCTCTGGTAGAACTAAGAAATCCTAACTTTTAAAGAGTTGTTCTAAATTGCACTAATCAAAAAGTCACATGAAATCTTGTAACTCTCACCAACTGTAATTTGCAAAAAAAGAGTTATGATTCATGTTCTCTGTGAACTTATGGAACTAAGTAGGAAGAAATAACAGCTATATAAGTCTTGGTGTTTCATTATGAAATTATGACCTGTCTCTTTCTTTTTATCAGTACTGATTTAATGACTCCTGCCTTATTTAGCAAAGAGTATATCAAGGAAATGTCGCCTATCAGTGTAAGCCTCCATCATGTCATCGCACCATAACCTTTCACTTACGCATTTCATGTCTTTGGGCACATGGCCAAAGTTGATTTTCTAGACCCTCCCCCCTCACTATTAGACTCTAAAGGCAAACGTTGATTTTTCTTTTAACCTTGACAAACACCTGATGACACTGTCTGGCAGGCCTTAACAAAACACATATACTGCATGCTTCACAAACTATAAATTGCCACCCAAAACATGTGAGTAGTATACCTGGTATGAATCACTGATAAATTCCAAAACACGATCCCAACTGGGAGCTTGTATCTGTAGAGCTAGCCTGAAATGACATTTTACAGTCTAGCTAGTGTAGAGAGCCTTGTTTCTAAATAGATGCTGCTTTAAGACGGGAATCTGAATTTCTTTTCTGAGTAGAAAAAATAAGATGACAGAGAAATACATCATATTCTTGCAACACAAGAGAAGGGAAAAAAAGCTCACGTTTCCATTCATATTTTAGAAGATACGTAACTCTTACTCTATGAAATTTTTTAAAAGATGCCTTCGTAAACTTTTAATTGTTTGATTAAGGACATACCATTTACTAAATCTTAAGTACGTTGACAGTTACTGATACTCTATTGAATTGATACTTTATGCTGAAACATACAGAATATCCAGGTTTTTAATGAGGAAGGACCAATCCTTCCTGCCTTTTCTGGATGTGGTTGAATGCACAATAGCAATATGCTGCTCTGTTGCAGGCTGCCTGAATGCATATGTAAGCTAATAAGATTTTTTTTTTCCTTAAATACACTGTTGTTGTCTCAAAGAATAGGAATTTTCTAAACCAATCGCATATAGATAGAAAACCACTTTTTCTAGGAAGATTTAAATATTAAGTACTATTACTCCCTGAAGATTATTAATAGTACAGCCATTGAAAATATCTTATTCATAAATAAAAATAATTTTGAAGTATTAAAATAGAAATGTTTTCAAGATAGAGATTCAATGAAGGCATGTCTTTCAAAGCAAAAACAAGGAAGCATAAGCTCCTTGCATTTTTGTAAACACTAAATGCAGAAAGTGAATGTCCAAGAAAGGGAGAATGCAAAATCCAAGTGTTCTTACTATCTTATATAGTTCCAATCCCATAAATAAATCGAAGGGTAGTACTTAAATGTAACAGACTCATTATTTGTGGAAAATTATTGAAGCAATTATTGAAGTTTGGGCAACACATACACTGAAAGAACTAAAAATAATGAGAAATGTTAAATGATAACTAAAGATATTATTTTCAGTTTTTAAAATGACTGTAGCTCCATTTAACCCAGATACTGTCAGGATGGTAAACAGAGAATTACATGGTTATGAAATTAACTCTTGGGTACAAAACTTGTTTAAACTTATTCCTAAATAAAATAGTCCAAATAAATTCACCTTTACAATATTCACTAGCTTGAGGATTTCTACCCATCTTTTTCTTTTTTTCAAAACAATAATCAATCAGCACCAGATCCTGGTTTTCAGTTCTGTATCATCTTAAGGTGGAGGCATTTATTTTATGCCTAGCTCCCTTTCTGCCATGACAGTAGAGGAGGAAAGGCTATAGGCAAAGCAGTATTTGGCAACTGAGACTATCCTCTGAGATGTATTTTTTTTTTCATGTTGGGGGAAAAGAAATAGCAGAACTAAGACTTGGACCACAATTTCAGGTTTGTTTTGCAGTTATGTTCATTTGTTGTTTTTCTTTTTAAATTCCATTTATACAGTAGCTTAACCTGCTCTACTTCATTTAAAAAAAGGCTGAGATTACCTACCTCTGCCTGATGGCTGGAGAAAACTGGTATCCTAAGAAAAGGAACGATACTCTGCTTTTAAAAAATAAGCTTTACATTCTCCAGATTCTTGGATGCTGTGAATGATGTAATAAGTCAGACTCTCTCAGGCAATTCATGGTTCTGATGGCTTATCTTTTTCACACAGATACCTGAACTTCAAAACTGCTTGGGAACTGAACAGGGCTGTTCACAAATACCTCTTAATCCCTATAAACAACATTTTTGTAAAAGTAACTTTTCACTTTTAGAAGAATAATCTCTCTGCAATCACAATGTCTATTCTTATCATTGCTACTAATACTCTAACTCTGGACTTCTGAAGCTTTTTCTGCCAGAAAGGGAACCAAACAAGGAAAGTTTCTAGTAAAATAACTGTATTTGTGAGTAAGATCTTAGCTGTATAAACATCAGCAAATTCTGAGATAGGATCTCTTTTTGATTTTGAGATTTATTTATTTAAAACCACAAAATACAGAGACTATTATGGTTGCTTTTTTCCTTTAAATTTTTTTTAAAGATATCATGAATGAGAAATACAATGGATGCAGGACGGATTGAAATCAGGCTCTATAAGTAAAACAACTACTTAAATAGAACTAAAGAAAATTAATTATGGTGAGTGAAGAAAACAAAAAAAATCAACTTCAGATGCTCAAACAATATTTGAATGCTATGAGATGACTTACTTATATAAGAGGTGCGAAGCTTTTTCACAGACTCTGAATATAAGTTAGAAAGGCCGCACATGCAAGAAGCCACAGTCAGCATACCTTCATGAAGCAATGAGAAAAGGAAAGACGGAGACACTAACAGTACATTTGAGACAGAAAAGCCAGCCAAGTAACTTCTACAACCAGATTATTAAAATGCCATTGCCATGCAGATTGTTAGTACCAGAAGTTAAGATGAAAAAATATGACTTCATAAAACAGTTGTGTTAATGAGCAAAAAGGACTTTCATCATGAACAACTTATAGACATAGCTGGACCACAGAGTTATGTGAATCCAATTTACTGGATTAAAATAACAACAGTTAAGAAAACAAAGGCAAGTGAAGTTTAAAGCTCCAAAAGGCAGTTTATAATCTATATGCATGAGGCAGAATTTAAGACCTTTACTCCCAGGACAAATTAACACAGTCAAACATTAAAGTTATTTCTTTCTCTAACAGCTTATATCATAAAAGAAAATATTTTATCTGACAGGATACTGACTGTCTATGCTCTGCTCTACGTGAATGATTTTTAGATCCAATTCCTCAGTTGAAATAAGCTGACTGATGTTAACTGGATATTTTTCAAACCATTCATTTAACTAAAACACCTCCCAGAACATCCATTTCAATTTTAATAAAATATCACCTGAAGAACTTACAAGGACTTTACTATGGATCTCTTAAAGAAATTAACACTCAATCATGAGGAAGGGTTTTTTTCAACAGTTTATTATTATGTCTTCTGCTGTTTTCTGAAATAACTTAGGAGTATCCATGACACATAAGGGAGAAGAAAATTTTAAAACACTATATTTTCTTTTGGTTACAAAAAGCTTTGCATTTTGATCAAAAAGTTATTTTCATTTTAGCTGAAAAAGAACACTCTTCAGCATATTTTAAAATCAAAGTCCTTTTTTTCTATTTCAAAGAGATTTATTTTACTGGTGTGTATGTAGAAGTTTATTTTGTTCATTTCAATCAAAGGTTTCCTCTCAAGCATAACATAACAGTATTAACAACATAACATGATTTAGCTCATGAGGGACATTTCTAATCAAATTTTAAAACAGGAAGCCACAAGATCTCAGCAAACACTCAGGCTATCTGCAAACATTAATGGATTTATACAAACATGTGGGTACTAGGTTTATCAGAAATATCAGGATATTTCGTCATGCCGTGCAAATTCTTGTAAACTGCATAAATCCATTGTAAAGTTATATTTTTTTCTTAAAATACACATTACACTGAAAAATAAGTAATAGTATAAAGCAATCAGTACATTCCACTACGCAACAATTTTTAAGGAAAGATGAATTAACAAAGCTGCAGTAGTGACACTAGTAACAGATCAAGAAGAATGAAAACCACAGTGAAGAATGTTTGTATTCAAAGAGTACACACAAAGATAAGATGACCAATCATGCTTTTCTTCTGAGCTTAAAATATGTTTTAGGTTACTCACCTCCAGATGGTTGCCGAGCTTTTCGGGGAGATCGTGGCTCCCTGCGGTAGGGATCATTGGAGCCATACAGTTCAATAGTGCCTAGATTTAAGAGCACTGTCTTCTGGAGGTAATCAACCATGGCAATACCATTACAGTTTCCAAAAACTACTCTGGAAAAAGAGAAGTTAAAGGAAAGACAATGCTAATTAAATGTTGGTAATGTTTCACACAACTATTTTTTGCAGTTCAGCACTTAATATTTCCTAATTTTTAGGAATTATCCTAGATTGTATTTATTTATATATTTGTATTTTAGAATCCAGTATTGATTAATTGTCCTCTTGTAAAAATATGGTGTCAAGTAGAACAGACCACTGTCAGTGACCTTGCCAACCTGACACAGAGTCTTAAGTGACACTCTTGGCTGTACAGTGCCAGGTGAAAAAGAATGATGCTGATTTGCCTCTGCTGTTAGCACCATCAGTATCTGCCATGACCCAAAAGGAATTCTTCTCAGAAGCACAAACAACTGATTACCTCTATGTTGCTGTGCAGTTCATGTGAACACACACAGAAGACTTAATTTTAATGGATTGTTTTAGACCACTTTGATGGAATAATGAAAGAAAGAACTGTGTAGGATATACTTACAGGCCATATGCTGAGTTGATGGCTAAGCTGGTTATCTGTTGAGGAGGTTCTCCACTCACCCACACCAGCTGTATAACAAGCTCGATTTGGTAGCCTGGAGACTGCTTGAGAGGAGAATTTTTAACTCTGCAAAGTAAACAAAACATGGTGTCTCCATTGTCTCCATTTTTCTTTATGGGATCAGAGTTCATTAAATTCTATACCATACTGGATTTTAAAATGTTGGAAAATGATAAAAACTATGATCAAAAGCAAATAAGAGCAACCAGAAGAAAAAGCCACATTAAAAATGGGAATTCACTTATTTTGATTCACTACCTAATTGAAAACTAATTGAACAATGACCACATATGTTTCATTTTTTTCCAACCTCAGAACAAGGCATAACAACACTATTATGCTGCATTTCCTTGAAAAGATACAGGTGTTCAGTCAATGTCTAAAAAAAGTGCTACCTCTTTTTTTTTTCAGAGTTTCCAAAAGAACTCTGATTTAGAGAAGGGAAGGGGGTAAGAGGTTTACATGGAATAAGCACAATGAAAAGGGAAACAGAAGCATAATATATTGAGGTAAATGCAAATAAAAAGCTGATGATATGGCAAAACCAAAATGAAAACAAGTCAATTACTGCAATGGTAGACCAATTGTATGCAATGAAGCTAGGACTGGGGAAATTGAAATTCCTGTAAAGACTTTTTTTGCATGCTGACAAATACACTTATACATTTTTTTTTTACACGAAAAAATGTTATGTAGAACAAGCTCCTGTTTCCTGAACTCCACTTATTTTACCCATTTATTCTCATTAATGGATATTTTGGTCTAACAATATTTTACATAGGTCTAGAATTTCTGTTTTATATATTAATATTCTATTTTCTATTCTATTATTCTATTTTCAGTTTTTCTACTTAGATGAGTTTCCATCAGAAATACACCTCTCCAACTCAGTATAATCAATACAATTTGAAAACTCTTACCCAAATAAAGCATCCCTATCAGAATTGTTTTCTGGATGGATGCACTCAAAGAATAAAAACCCAAGTTGGGAATCTTAAACTTCAGGAAACAAAGTATATACTTAGCTTTATATCTCTAGATATATATTACATATTCCTTACATTCTGTTAGAAAAAGTCACATCTCATAAGTCACATAATGCACTCTTGTAGGAGAGTAAAAAAAGACAGACTTTCTTAACTAATTTCTCTAAATGGTTAAAAACTCACACAAAGAAGCTGGCAGAAAAAATTCACAATTTAAAAAGATCAAAAAACTTGTCAAAGACCTGCACTATTAGGCATCATGCAAAGTGAAAATCCATGAAAAAGGGACATTTAATTAATTCTCTTTCCAATATGCAGTCCTTCCCCTGGAGGATTTTCAAAAAATATATATATTTATAAACCTAAAGAATTAGCATTCAGCTAGCTATCTGTAAGAATTTTCACTTCTGATTTACTTCTAAAACTTAAGGTGCTGCAAAACTAATAAATGAAACATATTCAGACATACTTGGTCTAAAGTTAAAGAGAGCCACAAAACATTAATTTTCCTATTCATTTCAAGGACAGTAAAATAGCAAAGTGACTGAACTGCTGCTATTAAAAACTGTTTGCTCTAAGGCACAATCATCTACAGCTATACTAACATCTATGCCATATTTTCCTAAAATAAGGTAAATCAGAAGGCAAGGATTTTTTAAGTCAGCTTTAGAAATTTAAAAAAAATAGTATTACAATAATTATTTCTTAAAACAGAGCTCAAATTTCCGATATTTGGAAAACTTTGCTCTACAAGATAACACATTTTCACCAGCAATGACATATTTGTAACAATATCAAAGTACATATACTCTAAATCACATATTCTTGCAATGTTTCAGACACTGAAAGTGTAACAGAATATACTTACTTTAAACATGGGACATTATCACGAAGTCCATCAGATGAACTGCTACTAGTAGATGGATGAGACTGAGGAACAATGGACTGGGGATTGGAACCTGTGCCTGGAGTTGGTACAGGTGGCACCTGCTCACCGTCTGGAGTTTCAATATCATTTATTTCATATAGGAGACGTATTTCCAGCATCTGTTTATGAAAGGAAAGAAAAATACCTGTCAAGTCTGTCTTTCAAAACATTGAATATGAAATCAATGAAATGCAACTGAGGGTATTAGTAATAAAAGTGACATCCAAAATTTTTCCATCTTTTGAAAGATAACAGTTTAATAAGCAGTGTACCAAAAACAAATGTAGTTTTCAGAAATACAGTCATACTATTAAAGACTGAGTATCTGAAGACTGTTAGAACTTGAATGACTAATGTATTTCCCAATTTTTAAAAGTTTGCTTCTTAATAGCAAAAGAAATTAAATACTGGACCCATTTAATTATCATTCTGCTGAAATACATTCTCAGTTATGAATATGACTTGGTTTATGTACTTCAGGAATCGTAAAACAGAGCTAAAGCCACACAGACAGCTAAACTTTTGCTGATGCAATTCTGTACACATGGTGACTTAGTTCAATGTTTGATGTTGTGTTGAACTGGATCATACATTTTAAAGAACTGTGCTTTCATAATGACTTTAGATTTCCTTCTCCAGGATCTGTAATAACATCACAAGTAACTGCAGTGCAGTATAAAGGAAGTTTTCAAGTGTGTTATTATCATCTGCAAAACAGAATTTGACTCATAGACTATAGAACATAGAACTATATAGTATTTTTAAAACATTGAAGAGTACTGAAGACTACCTTAATTGGGGTTGATTAACAAAAATTGGTTAGAAAGAAACCTATTCCGTAAGAAGGGAATGTATTTGTACATTCAAAAAACCACACACAAAAAAAAGCCCCACACCTCAGGTCTTTAAACTACAACTTACAAGTGAGCAGAATAGGGAGGGGATGGTGTGTATGTGTGTATTGGAGGAAGGAGGTGAGAGGAAAAAAACCAACTACACTACAATTAACACTTAGAACAGGCAATACTTTATAATTAAATGTTAGGTTTTAGTTAACACATTCAATTAAATAAATTCACAAGTGTGTTTCTGATTTAACAAGAAACGTCTCAACTTACTCTTCTTACAATAGAATCATTGTATCTTATACAGAATAGAACAGTGACACAGCAAAGTTAACAGATTTCAGGGCATGTTTGGCACATTTTTTCCTCTTCTAGCTCTGCATAGTGCAGAAGTTTTGACAGGACAGATGGTAATTATGAGGACTCAAGGGACCAACTCCCCAAAAGTTTTGCAATTCTTCAACTCTATAGCTCATTCACTTCTGTTATTATTTTACCTTTGATACAGCCAAGTTTTGATCCACTATTTGTTTTGATACACCAAAGAAGGATTATCGGCCCCAAAACCTCGAAAAGTCGCCGAAAACCAATATTTTGGTGTGCAATGTTTACTTTTGTTGAATTTCATAATTAATTACTTTCTCTCCAAAAACCTACATCTCTGTTTTGAGTCAATTATTTTTGTCCATTTCATTTTATAATTAAAGACAAAAAAAAAAAAAAAAAAAAAAAAAAAAGAAATTGCTAGAACAGTCTTATTATAGCTAAATCCTACAAAGTTGCAAAATGGTCATAACTCTTTACCGGAATGACTTCCGTCGTCACTTCCTGCTTGCTGAACCTATAAATAATGACATGTGCAGAAACTCCAGCTATGCACAGCATTCTACTTTCTGGACACCATGAGATGATCTGAATAGCATATGGATCTTCATCTACTATATCTGTGTTTGGCCTGTCATCTTTATTCCGTGATTTTTCAAATACTTTGGCTGTTTTTAGCTTATAGAGTACTTGCAGCGTTACTAGAACAAAGCAAAAGAGAAAGATTAGTTTTGACCTAAACACATAGCTAATTCTTGAAGTGTATCCTTCTCAACTGGAATTTTAATTCTGTGTTAGATTTTCTTTCAATTATCTTCATGCTGATTTCAAACTTCACAGGCATCCTATCAATGGCCCAAATTACTGCAATAAATACTAATCACAACATTAGTAAAACCTAAATTACAGCATCCCTTCTTCTCTTCCATATTTCATCAATTTTATCTGGATCACATTTCCCTAGTTCATCAGTAAGACTGTCATATTAGAAAGACTCACAAGATTTTTAATCAAAATGAGGATACTTGCAATTTCTCCCTTAACATGTTTATTTACCTGTTTTAGAAAGAAACTAAGTAACAGAATCTCCTTTTGACAGATCTATGCTGAACAGAATTTTTAAGCATACAATCAAGCAGGTTTGACTTACCCACCCCCCTCTCCCAGGTTCCACTCCCACTCCAAACCGAAATTAAAGATCTGTAACACTTCAAACAGTCCTCCTCCCAGCTTTTAAACATATACATTGCATCTGTTTCCTCCCACAACCACACATGCCTTAGCCTTTTGGAATCTCACCAGTTTTCCACAAGTTTTGAAAGACAACTGATGACGATTCCAAGACTGCTTTAAACAGCTTTTAAGTACCAAGAGTAAGGTTAGTTCCAACTAGAGCAATTCAAATATCTAACTTTGTGCAATCGTTTCCACTTTGAATTCTTGCTGCATTTTTCACTGTGACTTGTGTCTAATATCAGATGTAATTGACCCTTTCACTGAAGAGGAAAAATTTAAAACTGCACGGGAAAAATCTCTACTGAAAACTTACTTGCTGATGCATCCCAAAACTTGATTGATCCATCAGCATGCCTATGAAATATTAAAAAATATAAGATGATGAAATCATTAGTTGGAATGCTTGACCTCTATGGGAAAGTACACAGTTAACATTCTATTTTTATTAGTCTTTTTAGTGACACTTTATTTTCACAATTTATTAAAAGCCGATATTTTACCAACATGTGCTCCAATCACTTTGGACAAAAAGGGACTAGAAAACCATTTAGAAGCTAACTTCCTGATGATCCCACAGTAACATATTCACTTACCATTTTAAATAATGAGGCATACCTTACCATGCACTGTTTTTTGAAAGATGCCCTATATTAGGAGCAGCACTTATAAAGATGATGCCTAAATATATAGAATCCCACTGTTAATGAGTCACCTAACTTATTTATTTAGCCTTGAGTTTGAGAATCAGATGACTATATTTTTTCACGACTGTCTCAAAGTCTCCGCAATGTGTAGTACAAGGTAACAGTAATCCTGATTAGGGCTAATGGACTGTTCTAAAACCACTTTAGTGGTCCTCTCACTTTCAGTGATACACTGAACAGTTATAAATTAAATTTCACTTATGTTCCTTACAGTACTATTAAAAAGATCAGTCTCAAAATGATCAGATTTAAGTATTTGCTTGTCCTTTTTGAGATAAAAAATTGGCTTCTCTTTGAGAACTGAACTACTTAACGGAGTACCATGCTTTAAAACAATACTCAAGTATTTAGCAAAAATAAAAGAAAAAAAGATTATTTTGATCCAAGATACTTTGATAGTAAGTACATGTAATCACAATACCACATTATCATCATCATAATAAAATGCCTTTTGAAACACCTGCTATCATTTTGTTGCTACCTTCCCTTCCACTTTCTGCTTCACTTTCTCAGTCACACATCAAGGAGATTATGCCAAGAACAAGTCTTGTGATCACAATTTTATGAATCACTCAAACCACTCATACAAAACAATGTTTTAAAAGAGAAACAAAAAATTTACATTTCTACTTAATGAGCTAAGGAAGTTATTAGTAAACTATGGTATCACTTACCCTGTAATAATTATCTCTGAATAGCTCTGAGTGATCACACCCCAGTTGCCTCCACTGATAGGCCATTCCTGAAAGATTAACAAATACACTGAGGAAGAACATATCATACAGTGCAAAGTTAAGGGAAATTACTGCAGATCCTCCCCAGACATTAGCCACCTAGATCCATCCTCCCCTGCTCTTAGCCACTGTCAAAGGCAGGCTGAGTCAGGTGAAGTTTTGGTCTTATTATGGCCACTCTTGTTATTTAGAGCTTGTGATTCCCAGCATGTTAAAATGCAAACGGGTATAGTAGATATTGTACCTTCTTACTGTAACCTTGACGTTTCTGTCGAGCACCAACTGAATAGAGTGCAGGTATGAGATCCACTGGACAATCAGCAAAATATTCACAACAGGTAACTGGAGACTCATGTATAGTCAAAGGATAGGGATTCTCAAATATAGGGTACCTTTAAAAGAAGAAAAAGGTTAACTGTTAATCTAGGGAAAACCTTTTTTTTAAGTGCAGAATACAAGTAAAACACTAAGGACTAAGCTGGCATTCTTTTTGTACAGAGAAAAATATCAAATTAGACTATGAACAAATACACTAGACAATTTTACTGCTCATCCAGTACATTATAAAGATAGTGTAGTACACTACATGGACTCTAAAGTTTGTACAGTTTTTAGAGTTTTTCTAGAACACTAGCATTCCCTGCTGCTTTATATTTTCAAGCTTACAAATTTAGTGGCCTGTGGAAAAAATTAAGCTGCCAAGTCTCAGCTGTAGCAACATGGAGATATGAATTTATTTCTAACTCTTCAGTCTATTCTTCTAGGGATAAAGACAGGAATACTCCCATCTCACTTTGTATTAACACACTGTACTAAAACAGAAAGTTATCCAGCATTTTGCATGGACAAATTTTGCTTAATCTACTTGTAACTCCAGGATCACTTTCTGAAAATTACAGATAGCAACACTCAGTTACCAATTAGAAGAACAAATACAAACATGCTTCCCACCACTACCTCCGTCTGAAAAGTGACAGAGGCTTAATGAGGAAAAAAGTCAATAATATTAACAGAGGTAAATGTATCTGTGTTCAAAGAATATTTATCTCCAGAGAAATGCATGCTATACATTTTATATTTTTTTGCTATATGTTTTATCTCCCCTTTCTTGGTGGAGGTGAAAAGACACAGCTTCTCAACCCATCTAAAGGAAAAATTAACAACAGATGAAAACATTCATCTGGAACTTTATACAGGGCTATATGGAAAGCTACAAATATATTTTAAAAATTACATGCAGAAGAGGCTTAACAAAATATGTCAAATCATTGAGAACACAAGGTAAAAAGAAGTCTGTAGATTTTTTTGCATTAATTTTATTTCTTTTTCAGGTGTCAAACAGCTAATAGTTTGCAAGTCAATCACAACAAAGACCATTGTAAAAACATAAACTGCTGACGATCTTTTAGTATGAAATAGAATAAGCTTTAATATAACTTCAAATTTCAGGCACTTCAAACTAAATATAAATGCTGACACTTCATGCTATTGATATATCAGAAACAAGTTTTGGATAACAGCATATAGCCAGGTAACATTTGGAAAACATAAATGAAATTGTTCAATAGCTGCAGAGATATTAGGACAAAACTTGACCTTCTTCCAAATTCCATATAGTCTTCATTATCTAAGGGGTCACCATTGACTTTGAGGACAAATATTAACAGGTGTTTGTTTTGCCTTAGAAGAATGTTCTCCACGAGGATTTTTCTCCATTGACCATTGGAGATTTTTAATCAGGAACAGTACTAAGATCTTACCTAGTTCCTTTGCTCCTGATCCCTTAACAGCTAGTTTTTACTGCCTATACAAATTGCAATACCCTTCATAAAAAAAATTATAGTGTCTAGAATTTTTAATCACCACTGGTAACAGTGTATGGACTACTCCACGGACAGAGCAACAAGGCGACTCAAGGTTTTAGGGAGATATTATTTGTGAATACTGCAATAGCACACTCCTTTTAAGCAATTTCTTACCACAGATGTAAATCAGAGAGTAGATGTTATCATTCAAATTTTATATATATTATTGCATCCGTATGGAGTTACTTTAAACAATACAGGTAGTAATTTATTTGGCAATAAGATCAGCAAATATTTAAATGATGACAACAGCCAATATTACTTGGGTCATCTGATCAGTTCTTTTCTGTGCTTTCTTCCTCAAAACTGGAGGCTCCCCAAAACTTCAAACTCCCCTCACAACACTAAGGAATCAATTTGAAAATAAACTGTGATACTTAAAAAGCAGAAGTGATCTATAAATAATTTTGGTCAGTCAGTCAAGCCTGGAAAAAGTCACATGATACTCTACTCCATTAACTTGAAAAAGGTTGATATAACAGGATTTTCAGTTCATTTGCACAAATTTTATATTTAATATTCAAAATGTTATTTTCTGAGGTATTAGGTTAGACTAAAAAGCTTTAAAGCAGAACAGTAAGCTGATTACTGCAGCCAGTGATTGAAAAGGCTACAGAAAATTCTTACCCATTTTGTGCAAGGTCAATCAGTACTAAGTCCTTTTCTAGGAGAACAACTACAGCATACGGTTCCTGAAAGTCTGAAAACAACAACAAAATGTTACCTAGTGGTAAATGGAGCCCATGCATGTACAGCCTCAAGAATGGAATCAGTGCTTGCACTCTGGCAGCTCAGATTAGAAAGCCACTTAAATTACTATAGTTTTTGAAGATATTTTATACACACAGACTCCTGAATCATCCAAGTTAAGTTTGTAAAAATCATGTTCTTTTATTCAATATTCTCAACAGCTCAAATAACAGAAAAAGGAGCATGCAGAGTAAATTCTGTAAGTAGGTGATATGAGTGAAAGAGCCAATTTCTGAGTAACATCCTCCCACCCCTAAACTGCATTTTCTCATATTCAGTGGGGTTTAAGTTTTACTTGCTTACAAAATGGCTCAAAAGACAGCTGACTTAACAGTAAAATAAGAAACCTGGAAAAGTTTCCAAAGTTTAAATTGCCTTCTTTCAGCCAGATCTCAAATTCCAAGCTAAGCAGTTTAATATACTCTGATGGAAGCTGATAGCTAAAACCATTGGAATCATCAGCAATAGAATACTATAAGTCTGAGATAACTACCTAAACTATGGTAAGAAATTCCTTGCTGCAGAAGAGAGATTACAGGCTAGTGATGAAATCTAAGTATTGGAATGAATAAAGCCACTAAAAGCTTAAAATAATACAAGAATGCTGCTCATGGTTTAGCACTGACTGGAAAAGCTTTACGTGCCCAAATATCCAGAGATGCACACATCTGCTCCAGTAACTACAGCTTAAAGTTGTAATGCTTTTATTCTGCACATGCTTTTGAGATTAAAAAGAAAGAAACATGCTATGAGTAATTGGCTTTTTTTCTAGATGCAAAATTGGCTTTATAATGAACTATTCTATTCATGTTTTGGCAAGTAAACCATACTTCAGACAATAGGGATAACAGATGTTGCTGCTGCAGTCTGATCCCCAGAGATAAAACAGAAAGACAATAGTAAAGAATATTCTGCTGGGATAAAACTCCAAAGATAAGAAGTCAAGGTACAGAGAAAAATCTTTACAGAGCCTACCATTAGGATAAGGTGTTTCACACAGGGTTAGAAAATCAACAATAGAATAATCCATTTCTAGCACAGCAGTACTTTTCCCATGCATGACTGTTAAACAGGGTCTTCTTCCTACAGTGTCATATGACAAGCCTCCTGAGAGAATGATGAAAGGCTCCCTGGAATAAAGCAGAAGCATTTAGGATCAAGGCAGGATAACATGCTAAAAGAGACTGGTCAGGTTTTGCAACCTTATGATAAAGTTCAATGAAATATCATTAAGCAGAGATAGAATGAAAATAATGCAAACCAGCTCTCATGAAATATACAGCTTGGGTATGTATTTCAAATCTTATTCTAACTCATGTTTAAGTCAGACATCTCCTCCAAGCATTTTGTTGACTTAATCAGCCTTTAAAACTTCCTGGCAAGATGAGATATTCTTAGAAAAATTTGTATTACTTTAGAGTTGTTTCTTTTCTACTGAATTGCAGATTCAGATTTGCCAACAGTCCTATTTGTCCATACATAAAGCACCCCAGCAAAATCAGGAAGAAACAGTCCCATGTACTTGCTGCACAGTAATGACTGTTGGAGACGCAACCAACTGCTTGCTAAGCTTTTAAGACATAACATCTTTTAAGTAACATCACACATTTAGTCTAGATGTTTTATCTATTTTTCCCCCTACCACCATTCGCAAAATTCAAGAAACTACTTTGTCATACACTATTCTTACTGTAAAATCAAACAGCTGAGTAGAGCAAAGCAGAGATATTTCTTCTGGTCTTGAGAAGAAATTAAAAGATTCCCTTGAAACTTTTTAAAAAGCCTTTGCAGCAACATACTTTTAAATATATCCATATATTTCCAATATGCACATAATGTACAGTTTACTATTTAATTTATTGAAAAACAAGATTAAGTATATATGTTCATTTTACCAGGTATTTTCTTATTTCCTGATTGTCAAGAATCATTCATTTTAATTTCAAATAGGACATAATCCTTTTATAAGAGTAGACTGGCTGTAAGTATGCAACTCAAAAAATAAATGTTACTCATTACTGACTATTGCCTGAAATTTCACATTATATCTCTGAAGGAAAAATAGGCACTTTGCATATCTATCAGTTCCCTCTGATCTACTTTTATGCTCACTTTCAGTAGAAATTCTACCCTTAATTTGCATCTTCCTTGGAAGTAGCTAGTATATCAGTATTTGGGGAAAATTTCTACAGACAAAAACCCCATCCTTATATATTGTAAAAAGAGAGGAAACCTTTTTTTTTAATCCTTTCCTATAATACCATCTTCTCCATACTGTCTAAATGGCTTTTCATAGCTGGTATTTGAAACACAAAGTGAGACTAGATACGTCTGAATTCTTGAAAGCTCTCTATTAGGGGTTTGGTTTATGAACACGCTGCAGTTCATGAGTCTAAGACTTGGCTGAAATGTACTTTGTGTTTGTAGCACTTGAAGGCAAAGCAGACTGAGATAAGCCTCCAGCTTCTACAAGTGTTTCACAATCTGCTTGATCATCCAGAAAGATTGATGACCAAAGATTTGATAGGACCAAGGAGCACTGCTGACTGAGGAAGAGACCTCAAAGGAACGGCCATAAATCAGACTATGGGTCCATCAAGTTCAATATCTTGCCTCCAACAGTACCCCAGAATGCATCTCTAGAAGAGAATTAAGTTTTCTCTGAGTCTTAATTTAATCTCAGCTCTTCATATTGAAACTTCACACAATCTTTTATGGTCAGGTCCATGAAGAAATTTCAAGGAAGTTATACACTTGAACTTAGTCTGGTATTTTTCAGGATGTCAGTGAAGAGAAAAGTACTGGTGAGGTGTCATTGTATTGGAATGATTTACTGCAGTATTTTTTTGTCCAAAGAAATCATCAGGTTTTTTAAACAATAATGCTGCCAGGACAATTTGTAGTAGCTATCAGATTTGCACATTCACTGGGATCAACTGACAGTAACAAAGTAACAAATAACAATTTTTAATTTTCATACATCACAGTGACAATTGTATGTCAGCTTCTCCAGGTTTTATTTCTCAAGGTAATCAAACTGCTTTGGGCAGGCCTGCCAGATGCAAGGAATTGAAGAGCTACAAATAGAGAACACTGATCTGTCACACAGATTTTCCACAAATTAATCAAAGATTAAACCTGACTTGAGTCTGCCAGAAAGGCCACTAAAAGTTTGTGTATGAATTTTTCATATTTTCATGAAACCACGGATTTACCATGAATGCAAACTGTGCATTTTCTAATTAAAGTGTTGCACTTCAACTGTGATATATATTAAAAGGTTAGTGCACATCAATTAGAAATACATAATTTAAAATAAAAAATTTAGAAGATTTGTACTTTATATAATAGATGAGACTGATTCAACTTTGCTAATTACAGTTTACCTACCTGAAAGAATGGAAGATATTTAAAAAACACAGGAGTTAGGTCTTAGAGAATTGCTTTATAGCATTTTTAGCAGCTTCTCATACAGAGATTCTTTGAAACAGTTCAGCTTCAGCAGGTCTGCAAGTAATCCCCTTATATGAATTTTCTCATCAATGAAATATGTACAATCACCTGGAGAATACTATATGAAATCGACTATAAAAAGGGGGCAGGAGGTCATTGAAAAAAATTTAAGAAAACACAGGATTAGGTCTTGCAATGTATGAAAACATAATGCAATTAAGAGTTGAGTGGCTCACAACCCAGGAGGATATTTCTGTTCAATTTTAGAAGTAAACTGTCAAGTGTGAGCTAGCTTCTGACAATTCAGATGTGTGAGAGATAGGTATACAGAAAAATCAGGTCATTGGTACCATCTGGCTTACTTTTCAAACCATGAATAAATCTGTGGAGAAATTAATCCTAGTATGAAGATGGGGAAGACTTCAAGAGTTAGTTTATCTTAATACTTGAAGTCCTGAATTAGTAGTGAAGATAAAACTATGAATTTATTTTGGAAGTGTGGTTTTAAACCAATAAGCTGTCACAAGAAAATAGCACTATTCAAACTAAACGAACAGATTAACAACTTTTCCTTAGTGGGAGGCATCATCACTAATGTAACCTCGGGATCCCCATCACACACGACCATCTCACTAAGATGACTCAGACAGTCAATGACAGCTGCATCAACTACCAAGACAAAACCCTTCTGAATTAAGTTTTACATGGAGACTTTGGAGCTTTAATTTCTATTAGATACAGGCAATTTTACCATAATTCTAATACCAACCAGGGTAAATACTGTAGGGCACTGAACCTGCCTGCATGGAAAGTGGCATCAAGAAGGACTGAATCTGGAGGGGTAGGGAGTGGCACAAGGAAGCTTGATAGTGCCTCTAGATTCACTTTAGACAGAAAAAGTATTCATAAATAGCAATATATGAACCAGTTCAGAAAGCTCAAAATGTAAGCTACCTTTGAAATTCAGTGCTTCTGAAAAGGATGAAGCATTTTAGATGAAGAGTGGCTGCAGTACAGTGACATTATACTCTGAGATTGCAAAATGATGCCACTTTGTACTAGAAATATACAAAGAATGTACCTTTTTCACCCCTTATTCATCGATAGTTACTTTTCTCCCAGAAATAAAGCTACAGACATACTCTTGTTGTAGGATAAATTACTTTGGCTCGGGACACTTCACCTTTTGCAATATTTGCAGTAAATTTAAAAACCAAACCAACCAAAAAGTAAGAGAAAACCCCTCAAAGTTAGCAAATAAATAGCCAGCCCATAAAACCCAGGAACAGCCTCATGTCCTCCTTTTGTCCTGACCCCAGTTTTACAATATGGAAAACAAAATGCAGGGAAAAAAAGCAAGAAGGAATTAATAACAGCTGCAACAGTAAAAAGAATAGTGTCTGTAGCCCTGAATATAAGTTGCCATTGGTTATGGTCCTTCCTTCTGCATGGTTCTGGACCCCTTTTCCCCAAAACCAATTTTACTGCTTACTAGAAGCAGTAAAAAAAACCAACCAGTTCAGATCATATCAATGAAACTTTTCAGTGGAAACTTTTCCACTGGAGGAGATACTGAAGCAGACATAGATACTTGAGCACTCTAGATAGATAAGGGAGACACAAAAAAGGAGTGACAGAAAGATGTTCAAAATAGAGCATGGAAATAGTGAACATTTATTCCTAATAAAGATCTGAAATATAACTTAAGCATTAAATAGTATCTCTTAAATGTAAGCTTTTTTGCTTTGTTTTGTTTTCTTCTGATTTTTATAATTTGTTTTTAAAGTACAGCTATAGTGAACTGCTATAGAAAATTCATTTGATATGCTTTTTACATTGTTTCAGTAACCTGAAAAATTTTGTCCTGTCCAGAAATGATTCTCCTCTGTGCTACAGACATTAAACCATGAATAAAAAAATGACAGCACTTTAGATAAAAGTTAAAATCTTATCTTGCATATACTTAAACAAATAAATAGAAAATTTAACAAAAATTTAGGTATTGAAGGATAGTTCTGTCTTGCCTTAAAATTCTTGTAAGATTACAAGTGAAACTGAAAATTGAAGTGCAACCTGAAGTATACATAGTACTAAATGAAAGAAGATTTCCAGTGCTCTGCTTCTCTACCATAGTGCAGCCTGGTGATGTTTTGATTGTTGCAGGTTTTTTTTTTCCATCTCTCACTTAAAGTTCAGGAAGGGTTATCAATAATTGTAGATTAATAGTACAACGATGACAGAAAACATTAGAGAGAAGAATAAATCAAAATGTATCAAAACATTCAGTTTGGATAAACACTAGAAAGTGAGAGGTGCAACAGAAAAAAAAAAAAAAAAAAAAAAAAAAAAAAAAAAAGGGCAAAAAAAAAAAAAAAAAAAAAAAGCCAAATCAGGAAAATGTAGCTTCCCCAAACCACCAGGAATAATTACAGATTATACTAGAATAAACTCCTCCTTAAACTATGTGAAGAGTCAAGTTATTTTCACATTGTAATACTATGTCACAGAACAAGCTCCAAACTGTCTCCTTCAGAGTAACTGTTCATAATAAAAGAAAGCTTTTGATTGCAGAAATTGTAACTTGCTGAAGCTGAGATTTTTTGATTACTTCTCTTTAGATCAGCTTTTGATATTTCAGTTGAGAAAGGATTATGCAGATAGATGTAGACTTTTGCAAGTAAAATATAGCTTTGCAGATGATGATATTTTTATAAAACTGGGAGCTAGCAGCAGTTTTAAGCTTCTATTTACCTCATTTTTAGCAGAAAATAAAAACACCTAAAGCCAGTGATGAGTATATAAACACAATACTGTACTGTATAATTTAATTAACCATCTTCTACAGATTTGAATGCCTGAAAAGCAAATAAAAATGGTACACAAACCCTCCCAAATATAAAAGAAAACAAACAAACAAAAAAATCAGCTTTTGCGAATAGCCAAACAGATTTCCATGAATATTTTATCTTTATGTTGCACTTTTAACTCAAACACTTTAGAACCATAAAGGAAAGAAATTCCACACAGTTCAGGAAATCCATCCATCCTAATCACAGTCTTGGTAACAAAGCATGCTGCTCTATAAATCTTGTAATTCCATCTGAGCCTCTTGTTGCAATAACTGCTTTGTTACATTGTCAATGTGCATATTTAGGAATATTTCACTGCAGAAATTACTGCACACTACTAGAAAAACTTCTGTTAATAACATTTTGTGGGGGAGAAAGATGTATTCAAAATTAAGACTATTCAATTTGGGATACCGTTTGTCAAAGATCAATTTATCATGTCTGTGTCTTCTGTGGTTTATCAGCCACAAGTCTCAAAAAATTGAGCAAAAACACATACAAGTTTTAGTAGCATGAAAGAAGATTGTAGATAATGCATTAGCAGCATCATTGTTTTGTATACAGTAATTCATTCACCCAAATTTTTGTATTTTATTCATCAGTATTTGATTTATCAAAGCTAAAATAGAGCTGTACCATTAGAATATGCACCCCAACAACTGGGAAACAAAGTCCATTCCCAGAGTGTTGCACTCATGTTCATTTTGTATACAAAACAAGTCTTACCCAGCTCTAGTTGTTTTATATTCCACCTTAAGGATAGGTTTGCAGGGTTCTGGCTTCTTTCCATCCTTCAGCTGCTTTCCTAAAGTAAATGATGTTCCTGTGTTAATCTTGCAGTTCCGTAACATTATGGCAAGTAATGAAGTTCACTGTGCAGCTTGAGAAGTGTAAAATTCACACAACATATATTCAACAACTTTGACAGTTATAGAGTATGCCTTGGAATAATATAATTAAAATTTTGTTAAAGCTCTCAACACACCAACTTAGAAGGTTTAGGAAAAGGAACAACTCTAAACCTGACTACTGTAGAAAATTTGTTTTCAAATGTATAATCCTCCCCTAAAGTGCTGTTTCAAGTAGCACTAAGAGATTTAAAATTTATGTTGTGTCTACCCGTTTGCAATTAAAATTGGTCAGCTTAAACGTAAAGTGAGCTTTATCCTGAGTCTTATTCTTAAGGCTAAGTCTTCAATTGAGCATGAAAAGCCTGCCCTGTCTCAACTGTTCAATTACCTCACTGATACAGACACATTTAAAAATCTTAAGTAAATAAGTTGCTAAGACATTAAATAGAGACAAGCACAGCATGTAAGCCTGGCATTTGTGTACAATTTACTTGAAGAGCAGCAGTATAATTCGCAGAAGAACAAAACAAGTAATGTTAATTTCCTAGATGAACATTAATGCAAGACCTCTCAGAAGTGGGGACATCTTACTAGATGTTATTCTTGTTCTGTTACAAACCCTTTCTAAAATCTATGTGGTAATCTACACATTTATACATAAAATAGGTACTTGCTCATATGTATTTTAAACAATATATGGGACTGTAATATGAGCAAAAACCAAGTCTTGAAAAATATGCATTAGTTAATTCTGAGATCAGTGGCATTGTGTGAATGACAAGCTCAAAATTTAGAGAATTAGAGAAAGCTGATTTGGATTCTTATCCATTGATTTGGATTCTTATTTCATAAAGATTTTTCAAGTGATATCTATGAGAAACTGGCATGACTGAGAAAGATTTTTACTGCATTGCAAGTGCATTTTAATACATGCTTTTGGCATGTATTAAAAACAAGTTCTCTATGATTTAAGAGCTGTCAAGTGCAGTGGGTAACCATTTTCATCTTACCATGTGGAGTGATTGTCTGGAATGGTTTGGTAGGAGATTTTACATTCCATATGGTCAAGGTACCATCTGAGTGACTACAAATGAATTGTTTTCCTTCATGATGCCAAGCCACAGAGTGGATAGCCTATGCAAGAAAAAGCAGAACAACATAAGTCATGTATCTAATTATCATTTTATTATTACACCTTCCTCAATGACATTAAACAGAAAATGGCAATTAGAAAAATTACTAATTAAATAATACCTATCCCTATTATGTCCTAATTTACCCATGTCAACTTTTCCTTACATAACTAGCACTTTCAGACACTTGACCCATCAAAAATACTGGCTTCACTGTAGTGACCTGTTTAGGGGAAAGCAAGGTGGGAACTCATCCTCTTCAGCATAGTATTGAAGTATTCTTCCATGAAGGCTAGCATGAACAGAATAACTGCAAGCACTTATTTAAAGCTTGCTAACCAAAATTTTTCAGTATTGGGAAAAATATACTGTCCAGACAAAAAACATGGGATGAGATTATTAAGTTTAAGTATTACATATTGTTTTGAGATGTTTATGTGGATGTGCATAAGAGGCAAGCATTGGGTCAAAACTTCCATAAAGCAAGAATTGAAGTAACAAAACTTTTTTGAAATTATGATGATGAAAGCAAAGTATTAGCCTGGATGTTCTAATATTGCAATGACAGCTTCGAGGTGCAGGAAAGCAAAGGAATCTACTCATAAATATTTCCATAAATACAAAATCATCTCTAGATTGCTAAAATTAGGAATTGAACAATAGAACATGCCTCATAAAAGCTGCAGAAAATAGCTAAGTAAATAAAATCTAGTTGCTGCCTTCAGGCAAGAGGAAAGTAAAGAATGATGCAAAGAATATAAATAAGACAAAAATATTACGTAGCAAGAGAAGACTGGTGTCATTTCTGCTCCCAGCAACTCTGTTAGTACATGTAGATATTCTGAAAGCATTAGGTGATATTCAAGGAAATTCTAGTTATAGCATGACAGCATGAGTAAATAATGAAACCTGAAAGTATTTCTCTACCTCCCAGAAGGTGCAAAAGGCACTATTAATGGCAAGAAACACAGAGCTTTGGTATTACTGAAAAGGTAAATTTTATGATGAAGACATTACTCTAGGTGAAATAGAAAAGCAGGTGCTGAATAAGTAAAAACTGATACCCTCAGTGGATACCTTCAATGGTGATTCTGTCTGTAAGAAGGGCTTACACTCACTCCAGCTCTGCAGGGATTTTGGGATTTCCTCTGTGAGGAAACCTGGCTGTATGAGCAGTAGCAAACTGTAACCAGCAATGACAGCTAAAGCAGTAATTACTGGGTGAAGAGCACATCTCAAGACAGATGCAAGTGAGCATTGCTCAAACTGATTATACACACATGAGGTCTTCATATTTCATGAAGTTATACAGAGAGACAAGACAGTTTACAGCAAACTGAATGGGAGAATCCAGAGCTTAAATGACAGAAGAAAATGGCTATGCTGCATGAGTCTATAGTCTCCAGTAAAAATTTCCCCAATATAAATTAATATAACATCTGGATATATGTAAACTACAGATTAAGTTTAGCATTTCTTTGTGAAATTTAATATTGTTCCCTATGTATTGTGGAATCATTATAGATTTTTAAAAGACAGATTCTGTGTACCAGTATCACATCTACACATGTAGCTCCGAAACAAATCTACATGCTTCACATGGTGTCTCCTACTAACAAAGTGAAACACTCTTGCTCATTCTGCCTGTCAAATAAATTTTTAGATAGAAAAAACTGGTATTATAAAAGAAATCTTGCAAAAATATTGGATTTTTATTTACCAATATTATACCAAATAAAGCAAGGGATCAACAATTTTGAGACTCAGTAAAGAGAAGGTTGCATTTAAAAAAGCTCATCACTGACAAAATAAACGTCTACAGCAGGCATAGCAATACAATATAATCAGTACATTTTACATAATCTCCCATATGAAATCTAACCCTGACTACAGTAGGCAGCCCATAGTGTAAATGAAACTGATCCACATTTATGTAGAAATAGGTCTTAAGAACTAGTAAGAAAGCAAGCTTCATAAAAGGAACGAAAAATAAATCTAAGAAATGATCACTTCTTCTTTTTCTTGAAAAAGACTGTTGATTGAAGGGAAATGCAACAACTTGCAACTATTAAAACAGCATTAATGCTTAAGAAGATAAAAATATCTGAGCACAAAGGAGAAGGATGACTGCTCTCTCTGCAAGGAACATGGAGGTTATAAAAACCACTCTGAAAGAGAACAATGAGCCTTTTGGCTTTATGGCTATTTACTACCTAGTTTCAGTCTCTTTAGTCACTTGTTATATCTAGTGATGCAGCTAAATATTCTTCAAGATGTAACTGAAATATATACTTTATGTTTTTTAAAATAATCCAGCTAACAACTCTGTGGGCTGGGTATGATAAAATTTTGTATAGAGTAATATCCTTTGCTATTACACAATTCACAAATTCTTGTAAGCCTAAAAAAATAAAAGCTAATTCCACAAGTAACTGCAGCACTATCTCAAGGTACACAACAAGCTAGTCTAGTGTCAAGACAGTTATAATGAAGAGTACAATAACCTTAAGTAGTAGTAGTTAGCTGATAGCACTAGTTGTTGACTAGCAAGAGTCTCAATCTCCCAAATGAAACCAGTATCTGAAAAAAACATCTCTATACACAAGAGCAAAAAAGTTTTGACATTTTTTCCAGAGTTAATATTAGTGCTGGAATTTGGAGGAATGCATAAAATAGAAAAATGAAGCAGAATCCACTGAGTCTGCAAAACTACACAAATCTTATAAGACAGTAAAGAGCCACTAGGAGTAGTATATTTATATTCTAATATTTTACATAAAACTTACTGATGCAGAATAAAACTCTGTTTTAATCTTAATTCTCATCATGATTAAAACTACCTGTTTTCTTTTTTATACCATAATGCAGCAGTATGTTTGTATCAGCTGGTACATATCTGTGTCTCAAATATTTTTTGGTCATATGGGACCAGAAAGTAACCCCTTATAACAAGATCATACCCAAGTATCACAGAGGATTGTTGTTACATTTAAGGCATTTATATCCATAATTGGAGTTGTCTGCACAGGTAAACAGAGTCCTAACCTTATTCTGAGTCCCTCTGTTTATGAACATGACCCAAATACAGGGAATCTTTACAGGAACTCAAACAGAAAGAACTCTAATAAAAATGCAACCAACTTTACCTAGATAAAACTTTATATTTAATAAATTACCACTGAAGGTTTCTTATTATAAGTATTCCTACTATCCTCTTAACTTGAATTCAAATTTCAGGTACCCGTTCTGGACTCTATGGAAGTTTGTTTCAAAACTTCTGATACATTTTCTGGGGGAGTGGGGAATTGAATCTTACTTTTTTGACTAACAACACAATTGACCATGCTTTCCTACATATGCATAAACTTTATTAGAAATCGTAGAAACCATCCCCCAGTTTTATGTAGAGACAATATGTACACAAACACAAAATCAATTCCCTATCTGTTCCAGAAAGATGATCCCATGTGGAAAAATTACTGCAATGCTGCCTGCACAGAAGGTGAGTATACCCAATTTTAAGACAGAAACACTTTTGCAGCAAATGCAGCAGTTAACTGAGGAAGACTTTGCAATCACAAATAATCCAAAAATGTCTGAGGAACAAATTTAAAAGCATTTATATGCGAGACTCCCACAGAAATATCTTAAGTAGATCACTAGCTTTTCAAGAGATTATTGCATACTTAAAAACATTTAATGAAATTTATTTTTACTTCTGCAATAGCTTGCAAATATCCCTAGAAATAACTTAGTTCTTGGTACTTTTAAGAGGTACAAAAATTAATTTAAATGCAGACTTGCAATTTAAGACACAAGTTCATCAATAAAGACTGAAGCTTTTATGGTGTTTTTCCACAAGGGGAATTTAGCTGTTTTAATTCATTAAATACTGGTATAAACAATTCCATTCCTTTAAATTCATACAGACCTATTTTAGCCCTACAGCTGATTACATGCATATGATTTTGGAACATTTTGAGATCACTCTTCTCATCTGTCATGGTTTAACCCCAGCCAGCAGCACCACACAGCTGCTCACTCACCAGAGGGATGCGGGGTAGAATCAGAAAAAATGGTACAACTCATGAGTTGAAGTAAGAACAGTATAATAATTACAATTTTAAAAAGTACTCAGCACAACTAAAACATCAGTGTGTTATCAAAGTTTTTCATAGTGAATCTAAACACACAGCTCTTTGGCAGGTACTAGAAAGAAAATTAAAGCTGTTCCAGCGAAAACCAGAGCAGTGCATGGAGGATTTCAATGATGTAGACACAAAAATTATTAATGTAAGCAGTTTACTCTGTTTTCAAGACAAATTTTTTAACCCAGCTTTTTAACACTGAATTTAGACTACTGAAAATATGGAATGCACTGGAGACCTTGATAAGTCATTTCATTATTCTTTGGATTTCTCAATGATCCTTTGTTCTCTTGTGACATTAATTGAGCTTGAAATACACTGTTGTGACTGGCAAAGTCCATGATTAGGTATTCTGCAAACTAGACTGGTTATTTAGCATATCTTATCCAGATTTCACAGCCTTATTATGACAGTTCTTTAATAATGGATAGGGGTAGCATTTTTGCTTAAACATGAATGGATGATGATACTGACTCCTTTTTTACCAGTTCACCAAAATATACAAAGAAAGTATTTTAAAGTTTGGGAGTACTTATGTTAACTCTCTTGTAAACAACCTAAGGAAATGAAAAAAATTCTGTGAAAAGAAGAAAATAAGCAAAAAAATGTAGCTAATGAGATTTAAATGAAGATTGTTTCGATGAAATGAAATACATTGACACACTTTGGTTTCTTGCAAGTCGCATAACAGAGTTGTTTCTCTTTGCCCTGTCCTCTTAATTCCACAAGCTACTTTGACATGTTTTTAATGCTCTAAAATAATCTGTTACACTCAACCATGTACCAGAACACTGAGTCTAAAAATAGCCATCTATAATGCATTCTAGTTAATGCTGTCAAAGCTTACTTGACATCAGAACAAACAAAATATTACTTGAAGAAGGGACTTGATTATAAAACCAGCTTTAGTTTTCAGAAGTTACAGTTGAGGGAACAGGGGTCTGTTTTTTAGGAAAAAGCAATACTTGAGAAATTTGTTTAATTTCTTTCATGAACATAAAGGTTAGGAAATGACTGCAATATAAACTGCATTTCACATAACAAACGCACAGCTTATTTTCCTTAAATCCCCAATGTCTGCATAAAAAAGGCTTAAGAATGGTGGAAAAGGAATTGAGTTTTACTGTTTAATTGAGCCTGCCCAAGACAAAAGGGATGTTTAGAGTACAGGGTTTCAAAGAAATTTTCTAAATAAAAGTCGATTCAGAGCTGCAGTTCCACTATGTACAAATCATTTCCTCCAAATTCTCTGAAAAAGAATGTTACATTTGTGCATTATTTTAACTAATTCCAAATATTCAAAATATTACTGTTATAGTAAAAAATATACACTTCTTTAAATTAAGGATTTAATTAATAATATAGAAAGGTAAAGTATAAATTATAGCTGAATTATCTGAATTTTTGTGTAAAGAGAATGTTCTGGAGGGAAGAATATGCCAGCAATCAGCTGGCATATTCTAATCATGACCTAGAGCTGCATCTCCCAGCCATGGTTAATGTTACCTACCTGCTCCTGTCCTTGGGGTGAGTGTCCTAGTGTTCTTGTGCTGCAGCTACTAGCCCAGGTGCTGGGAAGGCACACGTGTTCAGACAGGAAGAAAGTGTGCACAGTATTCCATTAACCTGGCTTTCAGGCAACAAATGAGACTGCCCTACCACAACATAGGAACTTACTTCAGGAAAGCCTCCTAAAGGTCAGGCCATTTGAAATGAAATCAAGCAGGAAGCTACAAACCCATATAATTGGATTGAACATCTTCCCTCAGGAAATAACAGGTATCTTTCCACAGACCTCTGGACACACAGGGATTTTGACCCTCATTATGATGTTCCTCAGCTAAGGAAGAAAGGATGACATTTGGATCCCGCACACATTTGAAGTTTTGAGTTAAGAAAGTTGCATCAAAAGACTACACAGACCTTCAAGTTGCACGCTTTAAGAATAATATCAGCTACAAAGTGATGAGAGAGGAGGAAACCAAACCAATGGCAAAGTTTCTAGCAAATGTTCTTTATGGTATCAATGTCCTGGCCACCCTGCTCATGATGCCTGCAGAAGCCTAGCCACCCACTAAGATGGCAGGACTGACAAGATTGGACTAAGTAGCTCTCTTCTTACTGGTTGTCAACTCCACACTCAGAAGAGCTCTCATCAAGAACAAGCAGAGAACCAAGCATATAAATCCTGAGGCTTAAAATCCTGCTCCTGCTACCAGGCAGAATGTCACATGCATTATACTCGGTGAGAGAAGAGGTGAAGCATGTTGTGACATTAGATGCTCCCTGTCCCTTGAGGGTAGGTTGGCACACATGTTCATGATGGAACACAGCCCCTACCGTCAGTGCGTGAAAAAAGTTCTCTAACAACACCATGAAACTAGGAATCAACAAGAAACTAGCTAGAAAGATTTTCTGCACAGAAATGTCCAAATTCACATGGTTTGTTAGCGGGAAACAAAATAGCAAAGAACTTTCTTTGCTCTGCGTCACAGTACCCAGAGACAGAGATCTCTTGAGACAAGGCAATGCTCCAGTGTTCCACTCTGAGTGTTCTGGGTGAGCACTCCCTGAGCAAGGAAACCACTACACTACCAGATCGTAATTTTTTTTTTCTCTTCCCTTCCTAACCATTCCCAAGTTATGATAAACACATTTCTTTACCAAGGGTCTGACCTGAGATATTTCATTACCTCTTCTGCAATCAAAAAAACTCATATTGGACACCTAGAAGCATTCAATTCTAAATCCTAAAGAAAATCAAAAGATGCAACACCTGAATTATTTACTGATCTCTGCAGCCTCTCAAGTCAGAATTTGTTCCAAAATTACTGAGACAGATATTAAAAGTCAATTTTTAAATAGATGGACCACAAAATAATAAAAAAAAACCAAAAAACAGAATAAGCAGCATGGTGTCTACTTTAGGTAAGTTTCTAGAAACTGCAACAAAATTTTAATAAAGACAGTTAATTGACGTATGGATGAGTATAACACATCAGATAAAAGTAGTCAACATTATTTTTGTGAGAGGTAATTATAGTCAAATCTCCAAGAATGGTAACAGGCATTAAGTTCATGGAAACACCATTTAGGCTGTCTAAAATATTTTCAAAGTCCTTGAACAATGCATCTCAAAGGAAGCTAAAACTAAACAGATTAGATATCTTTGAACAAAAAAATAACTGTTTAAGGAAGTAAAGGAATCTAGAATAAAGACAGGCTGGCACTAATTGATTAGTTCATGGATGAAGCTAAATGGTAGATGAGATCCGCAGGGATATCATCTGCTCAGTTTATTCATAAGCAACTTGGAAAATTAGAACAAAAATATTAAGATGGTAAAGTCTGCTGACAGTACCAAACCACACTCAAAGCAGAAACCAGGATTTCAGTGAAAAACTGCAGAAAGACTTTAATTTTTCCTGTCCAGCTATGTCAATGAAAAACAATGCCTAAATGTCAGGACTTCGACCTGACAAGTAACACCTGAAGTACAAGTCTCTGGTTTTATAGTTGGTTGTTTCAAGGAAGCATCTGCTTTATGCTTGCAGCATCAAAAGGCTAATCCAAGATCAAGAGAAAAAGAAAACAAGGCCAAAGACAAGTATTCCACATGATAAATCCAGCATGCCCACATCTTCATAAATACTATACTGCTGTATTTCTGTTTTACAAAACAAAATCAAAACAGAATGGATAAAAAGATTAGAGAAGAACACAACAAGTAAGAGGTCTAGGAAGAAAAAGATGATAGAGACATGAGTAAATTCATGAAAATAAAATATAAAGGGTTCATGCAATGAAAACGGAAGGGAGAAAAATTGTTCTTTGCATACCACACTCTGCAGCTTATATGGACATTTCTGATGATCTAAGTGTTAGACTACTTCAGAGCCTCCTCCTCCAAGCAAGGATTGGTAGAATACACACAAGTACAAGTACTGAGCCAGAGCTGCCAGCAAAAAAACCCAACAACTCCGCCCCCCTCCCCCCACAAAAAACTAAAGCTGATACTGAACAATGACAAAGCCATTTTACAGTCAACAAAATGTAATCAAGACCAATTTTGTATTATTTTATATTAAATACATCTACTTGCATATTATGTTGACTCATTTTTGTTAATCTCAGTTGATCAAAAAGTCTATTCTCTCAAGAAACAAGTTTTAAAGAAATGAATGTCACTTAATGCCATTGTTTTTCTTAAACCTCATGAAGTTTTATTTCAAAGATAATTATCTTTATCTTGATCTTATTCTACAGAGAAAAGGTGGTTAGAGAAATGTTGTAATGAGACTATTTAGTAGTTTTTCCCCCTGCACTTTCATCTCCCAGTTCCCAGAATATGTGAGAGATTCCAAATTACACAAATTGCTAAACCATCTTGTTTCAATTTAAACCCTTAAGAGAGGTGAAAGTCACACGATTAACAGAAAAAAGATCTAAAAGCTTAGTGAAGAAATCCAATCCATGCCACCATTCATTACTTCACAAACTTAAGCTCAGTGAAGTTATTTGGTCTGAAGTTTATTATCCAAGCCCTACTGTTCTTTTAGAGAAAATTTCCAGTATTTGCAATTTCCAAGTGACCTACTTATTGATCCACTGATAACAGAAGCAGGAGATTAAAAAATAATAAAAGTCACTATTTGAGTAGTGAATTATATCCTCAGAGTAAGTACTGCAGATGAAAAAGGTTACCTCATCATGTGTATATCTGTAATCTGCCTTCTTTGACTTCAGGTCCCATAATACCACCGTCCCAGATTCAAAGCCAATCAGAAGCTGCATTAAGAAGATACATTAATTCTTTATAAGGAAAATCAAAATGATATTATTTGCAATGCCTGAGGTTCTTGTCCCAAAAGATATGCAGCATAATAGTACATATAGTAACTGCAAGTAGTTACAAAAACGAAAATTAAAGCAGCAAAGGCCTCAGTGTTAGAAAGGTTTACTTTGCACTTGTTGTCCTCAAGTTCCAGAAAACATAATGGACATTCACGCAAAATCAGAAATAAATGAAAGCATCCTTCTGAAGTTTCCTTGGAAATCACTTTGAGGAAAAATCATAGCTATTTCCTTGGAAATCACTGTATTAACCCTTGCTATGTGCATTCCATCTTGAGTGAAAATAAGGGGTGTTGAAAAGGAGAACTTCATTGTGCATTCTCCTCACTGGAATTCATTCTGCTTAAATTTGCTGGAAGAATACAATATTCCCCCTGAAGTTCTCACTAAGAATTCATTGTCTGTAAAGAAACCATGTACTATGAGGTTTCTCCAGAAGTTAATCACAATTGAGATAACAGACTGAAGGAACTCCAGAAACATTATTTGTTCATAGGAGGAAAACTAGATAAATTAAACCAGACAATTTTCCAAATAATCTTTTTGCAAGAAGTGAGTTTAAACCTTTACTGCAGGGACTGAAGACTCAAATTGCTCATAATAGTTGGTCTAACACATTGTTGAGTATCTAAATGTTTTGGTCTCCTATCTTAAGTGCTACCACTCTTAATGGAAAAAAAAACAAACAACCATGTCCAACACAAGGCAGTAGTAATAATTGAGTGCCCGACCTAGAGGTTTTGCCTGGACAGTCTTTTCAGCATGTTAAGATTTTCAAGGTGCACAGTTCTCTCCAGTACAAAAATAACAGATCTCCTACAAGCTTACAAATAAAATATTTAATCTCTTTCAGTGCTAAACAGCACTAAAATATCATAAATATTAGACATGTTTAATCTAGTAAAAGTGAATATTCAATTTTTCCTATGAACATTGTGTGTACTATTATTTTCAATTATCTTGCCTATTATATGTCATATATTATAATGTTTCTATTTTAACTTAAAACAGTAGAAAAACCACCATGATTAGAAAGCTAAAAGCATGAACAAATTTTAAGAGTGCATACATGGGTGACTTTTGCAACTACACAGGATTTTTTTAGTAATGTTTTTCTTACGAGAAATAAGAAAAGCATAAGGTCAAGATTTCAAAACAGTGATTGGCAGCCTGATGACTAAAACCAGTCATTTTTAAACTTTAATTGACAATAATTAGATGAGGGGTGGAATACATCAAAATAAATTGATCACTTGTATTTCCTGAAATTACAACAGCTTCATTGCATTCATATACTAGAGTCCATAAGTCTGGAATGTGATTCAAACCTAATTCTACAGAGAAACCCATTAGTTACGCACTTACTGCAGTGAGCACCATACTAATGAAAAAACCTCTACTCATTAAATTCTCTGCTGGACTGAAACCTCAAGTGTTTAGGATACAAGCTGATAACTAGCTAAAGCTTTCAAACCACTGCTAAGACAATAGATCATTTCCTCTCTCCAATTTAATCTACTACTGTTGAAAAACAGAGTAGACAAAAAATATTTCTCCAGCATATGCAGAGCACTAGTAAGCAAAATGGTATGTCACAGGACAAGGACTCTTGTCTTGCAAGGGCTTCAACAACACGCACTGTAAAAACTTCTTGTTAAGATGAACAGATGATTATGTTAACACTATCTCATAAGAATGAAAAAATAGTCTAATACATAGATCCTTCTCACATATTTTGGTTTACTTTTCTGAAATATCTTGTTTTTCTGTAGGCCAGTTTCATCAGCAAACAACACCTAGTGATTATACTAAATTGCCTAATATGGGAGTATGAGTTAGATGTCAAATTGCACAAAACCCTCAGATTAGTTAATCTAAAGACTAAGTATACATGGTATTCTATATAACTATGCTATATAAATAAGCATTTTAAAGTTGTGAAATAGCACACAAGAGCATGATAAAGTGAAATTAATCTGCATCACACTTTAAGCACTCTAGTTATGATTGATGGGCTTTTTGCTAACATTTTAATTTTTATCATAATAAGTAAAAATCTTTGCTTTTATTTCCAAAAGTTTTGCTGCTAATCATTTTTATCTGTGTTCTCAAATGCTTCTAATAACAAGATGATTAATTCCATTAATGTATCCTACATTCACAGCTGTACTTTGCTTTGTGATACTTTCAGGGCTTAAAGCCTTTGTTGTCCTTATATACTTAATCCTTCCTTAAATAGCAGTGCTATCTATTCTTTAGAAAAGTCTTGCTGTGAAAATAACGTATTGAAGAGTCTTTAAAATATCCTACCTTTCCTTCATCCATTGGATTGTCACTAATGTGGACAACAGGTCCTGGGTGAGATTTGGATGACCTAAAAAAGAAATATTCCCATTTAAAAAAAATTGTCCCCTGCCCTAAATGGTATCTCAAAATGATTTGAAGTAACACACATTCTGCAGATACAGACGCCATAGAAGCAAGCTGTGACATTTCAAAATGGAGTTACTTTTACTTTTATCTTCAAGCCCGTAAATACTATGTCTGTTTGTAGACACTTAGTTTCTGTCTTAAGGAAAGACTAATTTACTGCCTATCGACAACATAAAAATACCATTTGCTTCAAACATGAATTGACACTGTAGGATAAAATGTTCACTTTTACACTGGCATAAGGGTTTTGACATTATTAATAAACTGCCCAAGATTGCCATTGTTGCAATAATACAGAATTAACACTTTATGTGGACTTCTTGCTATTGAAGAAAGACTAATAAAGAACTGTGTTTGCTTTAACACCCTTTGGCAAGTGATGGACTTCATGCATTTTTAAAAGAAGATGTACTGGGAAAAAAAACACCAGCACAAGAAAAAGCAGCACACAACTACATCTTTCCCCCACAAATCACAATATTTGTACATACAATTTTAACATTGAAAAAAGGAGATGCAGTGACAATAGCTATAAAATGTATCTTGGTCTTGGAATAGACTTATTTAAATCTGCATTTCAGAAAGTCACTTCCAACTCAGAATATATCAGCCCTCTTAAAAATTGCATTATCTTTACACTTTGGTCTTTAATCCTCAACTGTAGAAGTGACATGTCTGTCCAAGTACCAGCCACACCATATTTTAATGCTTATTATTTTTTCTTCTGTTTTATCCCCACACATAGTGATTTTTACATCTATTTCTATACTATTTTGTCTATTTCCATGTCTATCCCAGGAACTATGATAAAATACTGCTATAAAAGGCAGAAACATATATTAACATTAGCACTTGAAATGCTTGAAAATAAAAATATCTACATGAATATGCAGTTTGATAATGTATGTAGTGCAGTAAGATGAATATGGAGGCCTCTCTAGATAACAATGATATTCCTGCAACAGATGTTAACATCTGGCACATTGCTGTTCCCTCCCCTCCAGTGACAAAAATTGGTTAAACTCACAGTTCAATGGCTTTATTCCACATGATGACATAGCCTGAGAGAGTAAATGATTCCACATTGACAATGTGAATGTTTCCTCTTTCAGTGCCCACATATAGCCATTTGCTTTGGAAAGGCAGGTGACAAAATGTTATCCTGGAAGAGAAAGCCATCAAAAAGGTATTAAAAAACTGTATTTTTGTTATCATACACTGCAGGGTTTATGCTACCAAAAGGCAGAAATAAGGCAATAGGCAAATAGGAATATATAAGACAAGTTTGAGGTAATGTAGAAAAGTCAATACGTGACCAAAGTAAGAGATAAACAAAGTAGAACCTTAGGCTGAATAAAGAAATAGAAAGCAAGTTATTCTAAAACTCATAAATCATTAAAAAAAATTACAGTCAACTTTAAAAATTATTGAATGCATTTTATTGCTATCATGTCAAACTTAAAATACAATACTCTTAGAGTCTATAAATCTCCCTTTGGAATCTATCTACTTTCAAGTTTTAAAGAACAAAGGACTTTAGAAATTTTCATGTGCAGATAAGGATGATTTCAAGTAAGGAGACCGACAAAAGATATAACTCAAGAAAAGTAAGGTTGTTGCTGTCGAGGCAGGACGGGAATGAGAAGACTGATTCAGAAGGTTGTGAGAGTAAAACTCCAATTTATTCAAAATACACCACTCTTTTATATAGAGCTTCACATGGATCAAATCCATTGGTTCTGAAGTGAAAACAACCCACCACCATTGGTACAGAGTGCTTAACGCATATTGATAGAACTTGACTATAAACAATGTGAAAAACAAGAAAGATAAAGAATTATTTACATTCTTTCCTAGCTCTTTCCCAGGCTTTTGCCTGGCTCGAAACTCTCAGTTTCTTTCTTTGACTGAATCTGAGACCCACATAAGTTCACATGTAATTCAAATTAATGCCTAAAGAGCAAACCTTAGAATAATCCTAAACAATTATAAAACTAATTTTAAAAGTAGTTTAAATTTCAGGCTGTAGCTTTACTTCAATCATGTTTTAATTTTCTGTCTTTTAGTTTTTTCTTCTGCTAGAAGGGTGTACCTGCACAAGACTCAACAGCTAACAACTGGTATGTAGCAGCAGAGGACTCCTCTTTGACTGTATCTCCAGCCCAAATACTAGCATTTGAAAACCCGATTATTTCTGCACCCTTGGGTCCTGATTACTGTTGACTATTTCTTCAAGATAAGGAAATAATATCTGTACAAACTGACAGAATGCTAACTCGAAATTGGAGTCTAGAAACTTTCTGGAAACTAAACCATTTTAATCTGACAGGGCCTGACATTGAAAGAAATTGCCAAATTACTCCGCTATCAAACTTGGGCTTTCATAAATGCTTTACTGATAAGGTAAAACAATTATTCAACAAGAATTTGTTCTGTCAGCTCTAATCCTTAGCTTCACAATTTTTTATGTTCTTGTTTTCTCCCAAGTGGGTTGCTTATTGCCAAATCCATTGCATCACTTCACAAGCCTGTTAAGTGTTTATGCAAAGAACAGCTTTAGATCCTTTGCATTAGATGCTGCATATGCACACCAACTTGAGCTGAAAGGAAAAGCTAACAGCAGCAAAGAGAGAAACTGCTGTGGCTGAAGAGATGTTACTTTTCAGGTTTCAAAAGTTAAAACTTCTGTAGTGATGCTACCTAGATGCAGAAGTGTACCGTCTTGGGGTTTTTTCACTTCTATCTTCCTATTTAGGAAGTGGACTTCGCTCAAGCAAATACCTCATCTATCTGCTTTCCAACTCAATTTCTTTTACTTGAATATTTATACCAAAAGGCTGCACTAACTTTTTCATTGATTTTTGACAGAAACAAAATACTACATACATGATTTAAAATGCCCTTCCAACTCAACTTGCAGAGGTTGTAGCACATTTAACAAAGCACACTAATCTGCAATCACAGGTTGAAACCTTGTGTTTTCCCAACATCCTTTAAAAAAAAGGATTTTGGTGGAAGCTAAATCACATACATGATAAACATTCTTCCTAGGCAGGCAGCTACTGTATGCAAAGATAAACATAAACCTTCAGCACTCTGCAATAGCACAGCAGCTTTTTGTGCCAGCACTCCACATGCCAGAAGCAGCTGGCAACGAAATCAGTTGGATCCAAAATCATGGCCTAGCAGCCAGAAAAAATAATCAGTAGCAGGGTTATAGGCTTGTCTTGATTAGCAAGTTAATATTGTTAATTACAGTTGTCCAACACTTCGTTTTGAAAACCAATCTATTTCACATCATTTAAAGTGGGTAAAATAAGTTTGGCCTTTACGTCCGACTGTTATAGCCCAAGGGTAACATTTAAATAATCTCCTCAATATTCTTGATACTTTTCTTGAATATGCAGGGATATTCAATTTACTGTCTCCTTTGTGCAACCGAGATCAATTTTTTCAAGAGTTAGCTAACAGTAACTGATTCCATGATAAAAGTAAACAAAGAGAGCAAATAGCTTAATAAAATATTTACAAACTCTCAACCACAGGAGGTTGAAGATTTCAAAATTGAAAGAATAGGCACATAACAGAATTCATAACTTTATTCTTCAAAGTATTTTACCATTCTTCTACAAACAGACTTGTGTGATTTTTCTATAAACTAAAAAACTATTCCTAGATGTTTTATTTCTCAGAAAAACTAGTTAAATCCAAAAGGAATGGCATGCTGATCTTGCTATAAGACATTTCACCCTGAATGTAGTAAAGGTTACTCCATTTGCAAATTAAAAAAAAGTACTAATTTATTTTTTAATAGAAATTTGTATGTCTTCCAACTTTCAGAAACTCCACTATATTTTGACTTAATGACTTACTTCTGATAACTGCATTTTTTAAAGAAAATTTACAGAATAATATTTCCAACATCAAAGTTCATGCACTGAGCTTCCCTCCACCTAATTAAGGCTTCACCTTAAGCTACATATACTTTAAACAGCTTGGGAAGTGTTACAGCCCTCTTAAAAACTAAAACTCAGTGAAGCTAGGACCATCTGAATGGCCTGAGGAGGCTTGTTAGTTCTGGTGAGAATTGGATTGATGATTGAAGGGATTCAAACTCCTTTCAGAGGATGGAAACAAAAGGTTAGAGTCTTCTTGGTAGTGATGCAATACCTGCTTATTTGACACTTGGCCATAGACAGTATATTTTTGTTCTGAAAAATGAAGATTTTTCTTTCAGAAATCTATCTTTTTGCCACAAGATTAGAATATGCTTCATCCATAATGTATTTTAAGATCAACAGAAGCAGAACTGGCCATATAATCCTCTAGCCATTTCTACAACTCAAGCAGTCTTCCCCCTCTCTCCGTACCATTTGTGAATGGATATGTATATAGAAGTGGAAAATGTAATCAATTGTTGAGAACACATCAAAAAGAAGACAAATGAAAACATTTTGTACTTGTCTTTCTTGCACACAAACCCCAGCTGCCCAAAAACAATGTAGCAGTCAAAAGCAGACTGTCATACTTTTCTCCTGTAGCAAGCCATTCTGCCCAAAAATACTAAAATAGAAGCATCTATGATTTAAAATCGTTCAGTTTTGTACATCTAAAGGGACGGCCTGGGATTGTCGGCGGCAGCAGCCACAGAAAGGCTTTTTCAGGCAGCTCTTTCATGGCACAACACATTCCTCATGTTGTCTCCAAGGCAATTTCAGCTCCCTCAGTAAGTGTAGTACGTTTTGTGAAACAGACCAAAGTTTTAGCATAAACCAGTACAGGGCACAGCATGTCATTTCAAATATTTCACTTTCTCATATCTTCACAAAGAGAAAGATCCCTTTATAGAAAAAAAATGCTTTAAGGAGATTTATTTTTTCAACATGAAATCCACAGCAAGATTTTAGTAAAAACTAACATCATCACTAAAATGAGGCACTGTTATACAACCCCAAAGCAGTCAGGGTAGTTTTAAATTCTCCTGTAGCTGTAATTTACTGTAAGCACAAAATCTTCATCCTTACCACACATATTTGCAAAGCTGTTCCCTCTCCACCCCTCAAAAAAAAAAAAAAAAAAAATACAAACCCAAGATTTTTCTTTCTTACAAAGTCAGGTTGTAAAAGTTGAACCAATATTTCAAGAATACAAAATTATATACAGAAAAACAAGTGACACACCCACACGGAAAAACAATGATAAAATATTTACTGTTCTTACATTAATTAAAATTAATTTACGATATTTCTTATCCTAAAGTCTTAGAAATTACAGGATATTCTTCATTAAGTTTTTTGTTAACCTGCTGAAAGCATTCCCTTTCTTAACTGCAGACCATGTGTCTTTTCTGATAATCTGTCAAATATATTTAAATAAATCTTAATTGCTGCTGTTTCACAACATATATTAAAACAATTAATTCAGCAAGTGATGATACTCCCTACAGGAATTTAATTACAGAAATATTAGAGAAAACAACATTATTCAAAGAATTAGTTTTTAAGAGGAAATACTGAGGAAAAATGGCAGACTGTTAACTTACCTATATTACTATGACAGCAGAAATCCTTCTAAATTAATCTTTACCTTTTCCTAGTCTACTGCATTATGAAGCATTAAGCATTCTTCAGAATTTTTCACTGCTTTAACAAAGCACACTGACAAATACTTTGAAGTATGACAAACACTGATAACAGGTTTTATTGTTAAGTCACTAAAATATTTCTAGTGCCTCAGGCTTTCATTATAGATCTGCAGTAACTGTAAGTATACAGCTGCTCAGATCATTATTGTATAGGCAAAATAAAAGCAAAAGATTAAGCTATCAAAGCTGTATTCTACACACCTTTATCCTCAAACTTCCATGTGTGAGATAGCACCATGTAAAATTCAGAAGCTGAGAAGTTTAATTCTGATATTGGTGTAGACTCCAAATCCACAGACTCTTGTCAAAGTCCTCCATGGACTTTAAAAGTCAAAAGCCAGTGTCAAAATGACATTCTGATGGAAGCAATGAGTAGCTTTTATACTTCCTGACTGCTGCAAAAGTGTCTTTTTCCACATCTGATAACATCAATAAGCTTAGAACATCTACCTGTACAAAAGACCTCAAAGACCAGAAGGTATAAGCAGAGGAAGAAATCCTCTTCAATGTATCCCAAA